CCCAGCCAAGGGGAAGCAGGCAGTGTGATCTTGTGTCACCTGTAAAAAGTGGCTGAGGGAGTTCTACTACAGAGTCCCTGGGCTGGGAACCCTGGCAAAGTGCATGGACTATGGGAGATGCTTAAGCATTGTTTATTGTCAGGCCATCAGAGGTGCTTTGTACAGGTCTGAGACCCACACAGAACCCACTTCAGCAGTGGGAAGGAGCTGAGCAGGAAGACCAAGTGCTGTGCCATCGTGTTACTCTTTAGAAGGAAAAGAAAAGAGTTCCCAGGATGTCCTGACCATCTGTGCCCAAGTCAGATGACAGCCAAGTATTTCGAAAGCGTACCGTGTAATTGGATTGCTATTGCTCTAGAGCATAATCCCCTCTCCCACTGTGGGGACTGGAAACGCACTGTGATCATTTGTGCCTTTGCCATCACAGGTCAGCATCTACAGTTGCCCTGGAGTGCTGCTACTGGTCTGGGAAAAAAACTCTCTTTCCTAGTAGGGGTCGGCCACCAGCTGGTCTTAGCCGAGATGATGGTCTATGCTCCAGGGGTCTCTCAGCAGGCCTGTTGGCAGCAGCAACAGGCTTTCAAGAGAGTGAGTGAAAGTTTGCACATTCTCTTGCAAGAGCTGGATTTAAAGGATGGGGAAACAGCCAACACCTCTTGCTGGTTAGTGCTGTAAAGTCCTGTTGCGGCAAAGCTGGCTAGGGAGAGGGAAGAAGAAATGCTGCCCAGTCCTTTGACCAGTCCTGTCTGCACCACTGACCCTGAGCTGGACACTGCCCATGCTGATTCTCCTCTCCTGGAAAGGAGGAGTGTGTCTGGTGTTTGGAGCAGCTAAAGCATCATGCAGTGTGCAAATGGGCATGTCTTGAATACACTCCATAAGAAGTCTATATTGTTCTGCGTTTGTACCAAGCAAGCAGTAAGTCTAAATGGCATGACAACTCCTCACGATCATGATCACGACCATCCTGTTGTTCGTCGATTGCCTCAAGCAGGCCCCAGTAACGTCTCCTTCATCCTAGCCCTGAGATTTTTTTTTTTAAAAAAGTGCCATAGTCAAGGCTCTTTCAGGGTTAGGAGAATGAGACCCATCATTGTAACTGGTATTTGGCATATTGGATACGCCACAGGGAGTTTGTCAGACTCTGCCATGTGGGCAGGTTACATTCGGTAGCCTGCCAGTTTGTCCAAAGTAGGAATGAGCTGAGTGTGATAATCTCTGAATCCTGGCCGTTGTTGGGGTTACACGGCAGTTGGTGGGTGTAACTGTCTAGCTACTGGCAGGTCCAGTCCCAAACCGTGCAGGCTTGGAGATCTCAGCCCCGGGTCCCACACACCTGGGTTCCTCTGCCAGTTCTTTTATGCGTGAGGCTCATCCAAGTGTGTGGAGCGTGGTCCCAGCATGGCCTTGGCTGGGGCCCGGAGGTCTTCAGCTGTTGGTCCCTGGTGGGGACAGTCAGGCACAGGGTAGGAGACTCTGCCTTGTTCTCTCCCGGGAGCTGAGTGTGATAATCTCTGGATCCTGGCCGTTGTAGGGGTTACATGGCAGTTGGTGGGTGTAACTGTCTAGCTACTGGCAGGTCCAGTCCCAGGTCCCTAGGTCCAGTCCAGACTCCTAGGCTCCGTTTATTTTTGTGAATTAAGTGGGTCTTAATTTTTTTTGAGCTTGAATGATGGCTTATTAACTGTCAAAGTTTTCTTAATGAAATTCAACCAGATATTTACTATGGCACGTTATTCCTGGCATTCGAAGGCTGCCTTTCCTACTGATGTGTGTGTTTTCCCAGGAAAGTCGGACCTAACGTGGTCCGCCTTCTTAAATTGCTAATGACGGTAAGGTAAAGGTAAAGGTAAAGGCCCTCCCGTTGATCGTCGATTTGCTCGAGCGGGCCCAGTAACGTCTCCATTGGAGACTTGGTTGTTACTGTGTCTGGCATATCGAATACTCTCGGTAGCTTGCCGGGCTCTCCGAGAGGGGCGGAGGAATCGAACTCGGGTCGGCCATGTTGGCCGCTTGTAAGGCGAACGCCCTACCCGCTGTGCTATCGCTCCATCTAATGACGGTAAAGACCAATAACAGAATCCCACAGAGGCAAAGAACATGTGTCGCCATCACTGTGCCCTATTGCAGGGATTTGTCCTGCCACTGACTCTTCTCCCTTTCTCTAAACCTACAGAACTCATCTCCCTGGCTAGAGTATTGTGCAAGCTATCCCTTTGTTCCATAACACTGATGGTCTACTTAGCTTCACCTCTGATAAACCGTCTAGCCCTGCGAAAGACAGCACCTTACCCCTCCACACTTACTGGCTGACACGGATGCAGTGTCTGCCCTCTGGTGTCCAAGGGCGCGACCATCAGGAACCAGTGAGCATCATCAGCCAGGAATCCGCCGACTGGGTCTCTCCACCAGAGCGGCTCCAGGGCACCACAGACGGTGCTGTGGTTTGGACACTGGCCAGTGGCCCCAGGCCATGAGGAGAAAGGGGAAACAGTCTTAACAACACCCTACAAGAGACTCTCAGGCTTCTCTTCCTGTGCGCAGAGAGGGTCCCCCTAACATTCATGCCAGAGTGTCATCTGCTCCCCAAGTCACATAGCCCTGAGCACATACACCCCCACTTTGTGAAGACTCAGGATGAGACTGAGCTCATGGGGTAGCTTCCCTGCACCGGAAGGTCCTGGAGTTGACACAGATGGTTTATTGTTGAAGAGCAGCACTTAGTCCCAGATTACTGGAGGGGGGACCACAGGACCGAGAGCAGAAATAAAAGTTGCCAAATGCATTCATGGTGATGCAGGGAACAATCAGGCAGTCTCTGACTCCTGGTGCGGGCTGTGGTGTCTTAGCTTATTCATCAGATAACCCTTGATTTGAGCCCACCCCTCCCCCAGCCTACTCAGTATCAAGTAGAAACAGAAACCCTGTTTACTGCACGAACGAGGATGAGCCAGTTCTACTCTGGTTCTTCGCACCCATCCTGTGAAAGATCACTCTCTCCCATCCCATCTCTTCTTACCGGGCACCTTTGTCTGGTTATTCATTCTCCATGGGATGCTCTCTGCTTTCTGCACAGTCAACACTTTCACAAGCTTCCAGACTCAGTTCCAAGGGCCCTTGCTGCAGAAGAGTTCCCTCTTCCTGCCATCCAGAAACTCAAGAGGCAAAACCCTGGAGGTTGAGCACTGGGTACAGACTTAGGCCAGAGTACTGGGCTGGCCCTGGGCCCAGCCTTCTCACCGGGCTCTCTAGGGAGCTGGTGGGATGGTCTTGTGGATGCCTGTCTCCGCTCTGAGCCTCGTCTGGCTTTTGCAGGAATGCTGCTCAGAGTGTGGCATGCACCGTGCAATGAGAGGAGTTCCGGACAAGAGGGGCTTCCATGCTTGTAGAAGAGTCTTTGTTTCCATCATTATTTTTTTTCTTTTTGGGTCACACCCAGCGATGCACAGGGGTTATTCCTGGCTCATGCACTCAGGAATTACTCCTGTCAGTGCTCGAGGGACCGTATGGGATGCTGGGAATCGAACCGGGTCGGCTGCGTGCAAGGCAAACACCCTACCCACAGTGCTATCACTCCAGCCCCTCCATCATGTTTTTGGGGGGTAATAAAAAGACCCCCGGTTCAGGGATACCTCAGCTCCACAGTGCCTTCCTTATGAGAGCAGGAATTGGACCTTTGACACAGCTCTGGATGCCACCCTGGATAATAGTAGGCCACCTTGGGCACATCTCAATGACGAGTGCCAAAGCCAGCGGGCACCACAGCCAAACTGTGTATGTGCAGCACACGGCAGAGGGCAGGACCCATGGCGAGCACCTGTGTGCACATAGCGATCCCACACGGACCCCCCAGTGAGCACGGCCACCCAATATGGGACTGAGCAAGCACCATACCCAAACATGCATGACTTCCAGGAATCACAACCATCTCTAATGCCACCAAGAAAAAAAGGGTGGGAGTATGAGGGAGGGGGGATGGAGAAAGGAAAGGAGGGGGATGATAAAAAAAAATAGCCCCAAGCATTTAACCCACAGTTCCTCAGCTATTTCTTGTATGTAACTGAACGGTCCTACAAGGAGGGAACCAGATAGCAAAGAGTGGAGTGAAAATGCTGACAGCTTGTGATGCTCCGGAGAAGTCCATCTCGTGGGCTCTTCCCGGCTCTCCCTCTGGGATCTACTCTGCTTCCTTAGTGCGATGGGTCCTCTGGCTAGTGCCTGATGCCGTCTCTCCTGGTCTTTCACTGTGAGACCCAGCTGTCCTCTGGCCTCTGCTCACTCAGCACGAGAAAGCACCACACAAACCTTCAGAGAAGACTGACTTCACAGGATGCCCTCTGTCTGTCGCTCCTTGACACTTAGCAAAAGGAGAGCATCTCCGGCCGACGTTCCAAACTAAGTTCAGTTTTGTGGATGCATTTTCCTCCTGTTTAGAAAAATCAAGTCGACTCTGTTTAAAATTCGAAAAACATAGGAAAGTAGTAAGAGAAGAAATAAAGGCGCCCAGAGTCTTACACTCCCGCAGAGTTCTGCAGACTCCTCGCCGGCGGAGCTCTCTGATGATCGTTTTAGAAAACTAGAACTGTTCTTTTATGCTGCTGTTGTTTCTTAGGTCCGCACTCAGCCGTGCTCAGGGCTCACTCCTGGTGGTGCTCGGGGAACCGCATGGAGTGTGGGGGACTGAACCCAGGTCAGATGCATGCGAGGCCAGCGCCTTGATCCTTGTGCTCTATTTCTTTTTTTAATCCATGTTTGTCACTCCAAATAAACAAACCAAACACTGTAGCGGAGACGCTGGAGTGGGGAATCTTTGCACACAGCAGTCCAAGAACCGCTCAGGGCTGAGTCCCTCGGCTCCACGCAAGGCGGCATCAGATCTCGCTGAAAACTATCAGCACGCTTTGCTGCAGGCCTCGCAGACGCGGGGCCGTGTGCAGTTACCCGCTGTTTCTAGGTTCTGGGCAGATGCGTGTTGATGCGTGTCTATGTCTTTTCCGTAGGATTTTTGGAATCTCTGGATGACTTTTACATTCTTAGCAGCGGCTTGATATTGCTCCAGACCACAAACAGCGTGTACAATAAAACCTTACTGAAGTATGTGGTTCCCCAGTCTCTCCTGGCCTGGCAGAGAGTTCGTGTGGCCAATATGATGGCAAATGGTGGCAAGGAGTGGGCAAATACCTTTTCCAAGTACAACTCTGGTAAGTGGCCTGGAGACTCACTTGGAGGTCTGTGCAGTATACACACGTTTTGCTTTTGAGCAAACCCAAAAATTAAGCCATCTCCACACTCTACCTTCCATTCCCTGATGTTTCAGGCACCTATAACAACCAGTACATGGTCCTGGACCTGAAGAAGATAAAGCTGAAGTCCAGCCTTGGTAAAGGCACCCTGTATGTGGTGGAGCAAATCCCGACGTATGTAGAATTTTCTGAACAAACTGCTGTGCTACGGAAAGGTACTTCTTGATGCCAAGAGCCTGTGTGCGTGTGTGCGTGTCTGCGGGCATACAGGTACCTGTGTATACAGGGATGTGTACAGCTCTGTGATGGACACTGTGCCTTGTGTGATGGGGTAGTGTGTGTGTGCACTGGTGTGTGGTTCATGGTGGGAAAGATGTACAGTGTGATTGTGGGACTGGGCAAAGTGTGGAAGAAAAGGTCGAAATGTCATTGCTCATTAAACTGGGGAAGAATGAGAAGATTCAGTGCAACAAGCCAAACCCCGGGCCTTGTGGAAAGCATAGGTGCCATGTGCACGCTGGGCCGAGAATGGTTTTCTCCCGGGTCTAAAGTTACTGTCTCCCGTGCGTTCCCAGGTAGAGCTTTTGTTCAATTTAGCGAACATCTATCGGGGTGTTATTCTGACTTAAGGACCAGAAAAGCATGGATTCAGGGGCAGCCTCTGGGGCCTTGGGGTACATGGGGCTCCTGAGGGCCCAGGAAGGGTGGAAGGATGAATTCCAGCAAATCAAACTCCCAAGTAGTATCGGGCAGAGGAGTCGCCGACCTGCCTCCTTTTCATGTAGGAAAAAAAATCCACCGGAGAAGTCAAATCATTAGGCTGGGTCACTCGGCTAACACGAGCTGTGCGACCTTAAAGCTGTTGCGTGTGGCCCCTTCAAGGAGGCTGAGAATAGCGTATCCCTCAAAGGGGACTCCAGGCGCACCTGGTCTCCAAGATCTTTGTCATTCGCCTGCCTTGGAGTATGCAGTGAAGTTTAAGGTTTGTTGCAACCTTGTTCCTAGATTCTGTGAAGAAAATGACCCAGGGACTAAAATAACTGAGGCTGATGACCAGTGTTCTGTGCCCAAGATCGGAGTTAACTTAGTATTTACTATATACAAAGACCCTTCTGGGCCTTTGATTTATAGTCTCTTGTCACCTGATCATATTTCCAGATCACTGGTCCTGCCTCCATTTTACTGATGACATGTGATTTGCCCTAGTAAGAAACATCATCTAGCAATTTAAGACAAGTGGTCTGTGAACCTCTGTGTGAGTACTGTGCTCCCTTGAGAGAGGCTCTACGTAGAGTTTTATTTATGCGGTGGTGCCGGGGATCAAATCCTGGATCTCACACATGCAAGACCGAGTGCTCCCCTTCTGAGCCACAAGCTCCCAGACCAGCAGGAAGACTTTCTGAGCTCCCTGAGCCCGTGTCTGCCTTTCTGTAGAGGGATCTGTAACACCGTACATCCGCAGGTTGTGAGATTTAATAAGATACTCTACTTTGAATGTTTGGTAGATCACGAAGCTTTGTGAAAATCAGAAATTTAAAAAGCCATTTGGAGCCAGAGATAGTATGGGGGTAAGGTCTGGATGTGGCCCACCCAGCTTTGACCCCTAGTGTAGCATGTGATCCACCCCCCAGCACCACCAAGAGTGATCCCTGAGCACTGAGCCAGGAGTAAGCCCTAAACACCACCAGGTGTGGCCCAAATCCCACCCCCACCCCATCCCCCCCCAAAAATCACTTTTTATGAGAGCTGTGCACAGAGAAATAATCATAGTTAATACATACCAAGTATAAGACACATGTGGTACGCACTCCTTGTCTGAACATACTTCATGCTCATAATGATCCTTGCCGGCATCGTTATTCACATTACCTGAGTGCAAAAATGAGGCCCAGAGAGGCCTAGAAAACTGTCGGGTAATGGAAGAACGAGGCTCTGAGTCTAGGCGGTCTTCTAAAATTATTGTGGCAGTCAGTATAGCCTCAGCCTGCGATTCCCATGCTGTCTTGTTGCATCTCCACCCAGGGTCGGGAGCCAAAGAGTCATAGGAAGAAAGCATGCAAGGACCAAGAGAAGTCTAAAGGGTGGGAAACCCCACTTGAGTAGCAGCTTTCCAGGGTTGTCCCTTAAACCCTGGTCACTGTAACCTGCGCTATTCCTCACATGTTGGTTTTGCTAGAGTCCCGAGTTTGGTACTTAGGGACTATGTGTGGAGTCTGTATGTGGCCTTGGCACTCTGGGGAACTGACTCATGGTGCACCTCCATCAATGCTCAGACTCAGAGCAGCTAAGCAGACCTGCTGGACCCTTAAAGATCAACTCCAGTCCTCTGCATATGGATTCTCCTCCCCTTACTTATTTTTGATTTATTATTGGGGGGTCAACCCCACAGACTCCCGTCTGCCTGGGGGACCATGTGGTGCCAGGACCTCCCAGGCACGCAAACTCAGGCCTCCACAGGTAAAGCAGCCCTCTGGTCCTTTGAGCCCCCCCCATCCCACCCACTTCGTTCTTTTTTTTGGTTTTTTTTTTGGTGGGGGGAGGGGGTCACACCCATTGATGTTCAGGGGTTTCTCCACCCTGCACTCTGGGATTACTCCTGGCAGTGCTCGGGGAGAACCATATGGGATACTGGGGATCGAACCCGGGTCAGCCGCATGCAAGGCAAACACCCTACCCGCTGTACTGTCACTCCAGCCCCACTTCATTTTTTAAAGCACTAAGATGCAGTTATTTAGGCCAGAGCCTAGAGTATAGGTTTGTAGATTCCTGGCACTGTATCTTACTCTGAGCCATGAGCACCTGGCACTGCCTCTAAAGCCACATTGCGCAACCTTTTGGGCATTTCTGCCCCCAGGGCCACTAAATAAGTCCCCCCCCCACCCCACCCAACCTCCCACACCATTTGTCCTGTTTCCTTTTGCTCTCCTATATAATGTTATGTTTCTATATGTAAGGTTGATACATTGCTTTAAGAATTTTGAATGAGGGGTTGGAGAGATAACACAGTGGGTAGGGCATTTGCCCTGCACTCGAACGACCCAGGTTTGATTCCCAGCAGCCCATATGGTCCCCTGAGCACAGCCAGGAGTAACTCCTGAGTGCAGAGCCAGGAGTAACCCCTGTGCATCGCCAGGTGTGACCGCCCCCCCCCCCCAAATAAAAGCAAAAAAAAAAAGGTGGCTGAATTTTTGGCGGGGACAGGGGGAAAAAAGAAGAATTGAGTGAAAAAACAAATAATTTTTATATGCTTCTTCCCCTTAGAGAAATCTAGATAGACACCAACAGATTCATCTGTCACCACTCGTATTGAAGCCTTATTTTCTGTATCCTAATATTTTATCATTGTGCACTTTCATCAATTTTTTTTTAAATTGATTCACCGTGAGGTACAGTAACAAAACTTCCATGTTTGAGCTCCGATCATCCAGTCAGCAAACACCCATCCCTTCACCAGTGCATGTTTCCCACCACCAAAATCCCCAGTATTCCACCCCTCCCCCGCATTCCACACCTCCCCCTGCCTGTGTGGCAGACAATTTGCACAATACTCTCTCTCTCTAGTTACCTTTGATATTTCGAGACCAGTCCCACCACTACTCATACCTGCCGAATATGCAAAGTTAGACAGTATGTTTTGTATTGCCTGTTACAGATACAAAATAATGTCGCGCGGCCGCTCTAGGAATTCTAAAATTTTAATGATTAGGGTCTGAAGAGATCGCCACAGCAAGTTGCTCAGGTCCAAGATTTGTATGTGTGTCTCTGGATCCTGGTCGTGTGGGAGCTTAAGTAGATGGTGGCTGGATATCCCGTCATCTCGGAGTCCCATCGGGGAAAGGGGGCGGGGGGGTGTGGAAGAGAAGGGTCGACTCCTCCCGTCCTGTGAGGCCTGGCGTTTGCCCCCACCGCTACTCATACCTGGAGCTTGTCACTGACTTCTAGAAAATGGCAGGGGCCGGGATAGCACCTGCCCCCGTCTGGAGGAGCCCAGCAGAAACGGCCTACGGCACAGTCCAGGGCCATCTCTGCAGCAAGTTGCTGGGGTCCGAGATTCGTTTGTGTGTCTATGGATCATGGTTGTGTTTCACCAATTTTAAAGTAATATATTTTCCCCCTCTTCTGCCTCCATCCCTGTCGATGCCCCTCCTCCCACCCCCTTTCCTTTCAAACAGGATATTGGCCCTCCTACAACATTCCTTTCCACGAAAATATCTACAACTGGAGCGGCTACCCAATGTTAGTCAAGAAGCTGGGGACAGATTACTCCTATGATCTGTCCTCCAGAGCCAAAATCTTCCGGCGCGACCAGGGGCAAGTGATCGACATGGAGTCCATGAAATACATCATGCGATACAACAGTATGTAGTACATTTCCCAAGCTACGCTCCTCAAAGTGTCTTTCCTTCCCCATGTCATACCATGAATAGAAGTGTCCCCCTTTATAAAACCCTGGGGAAGATTGTATACAGTTTACATTTTTTTTTAAGTTGAAAAAAGTGTACGTACAACAGAAAATAACCCACACAGGATACATCTCTCACCCACACAGGGCTCCCAACGAGTATAATAGCTGCTAATGAAACAAAAACAACATTCAGAAATGCTTTTGTTTTTGCTAATGATGTAAATCTTGCATTTGTTTTATTGGGTGGGGGGGGGGGAAATCCATTTACACTTCTTTCTTCACCACCCACTTGTCACTGCCCAAATTCTTGAGAGCAGATGGAGCAGGGGGAGGCCAGTGGAGCCTCCATCCTCTCCACTTCCACATGAAGTGCCGCCGATTAGCCAGGACTCACTGTTGCCATGACTGTTTCCTAGATTATAAGAAGGATCCTTATAGTAAAGGCGATCCCTGCAACACCATCTGCTGCCGTGAGGACCTGGCCTCACACAACCCAAGCCCTGGAGGTTGCTATGACACGAAGGTAATGTGCTCTTGGCTTTGGGATTTCATTTCCATGCCTCCCACCCACCCACCCAGACCTGTTCCAAGGATCTTGTAGCGTTAAGCAGAATAAAGTCTCTGACCAGAGACCACCCAGCTATCAGCCCTTTCTGATGCTGGCGGTTGAATCTGTTGCAAAACTTCAATCCCTGCTCTGACAACTTAAGAGTTGTCATCACAAGACTTGCCATGACTGTTCCCTGCCAATGCAAGATGGGGGTTCAAGCACTTACCTCCACAGATTAGGTGGTTATGAAAACTAGACTTCCAGTATCTGTACAGTTTACAATGGTACATATTTGCATATGTACCTGATGCGGAGGAGGAGGGGGAGGAGGATGGTGATCAGGTTGATTAGTTGACCAGAGTGGGCCAAAGCCCAAAAGCACATGTTGAGAGCAGAGTTATTTCACATTAAACAGGAATTGAATTTTGCAAAGCAGATTAGACCAGATGCTCAAAGCTCTGATGGTTTTTTGCCATGTTAGAACTGATAAATGCATTCATGTGTCTCATCATCCGGGGAATGGTTTGCAGTGCAGGTGAGAAGTCAGTTGACATCATGGTCATATCTTGAAATCAGCCCTGGTGGGAGCATTTGCACCACAGACATCAGCAAATGCTACAAACGTGGTCCTTCCCCCCCCCCCCCCCCCATTTTTCAGAAAGGCAGTTGTTCCAGTTCCACCTACACACTACTACTGGGTGTTAGGGATCCTCAAGGCTGAGGATTCCGTGTTTTCTTGTTAACCTCTAAGTTTTGTCAACCTGATAAAAATCTCTAGAGTAGTCCTGAGTTTCAGTTCAGTGTGCCAATCATAAAGATCAAGTTCGTGCATCTGAAGTGTCAGAGAATTAGTGACCTGGCACACCAATTCATGGGTTCCTGTGCTTCTTTTCCGATGGTGTTTGTAGATAGTCTATGAAATGTGCCAGGTGTGTAATTATTCCCAAATACACCTTATTTCTGCTGCCTAGCTGCTTGTGTAAATCCAACCCAAGCTTCAGGCTACCAAATTTTATTTTCTTCTAAAGACAAGAGCCCACCAATTTTTCATCAGAAGTTTGCTAAAAGATAAATTTTTTTAAAGTATCATTTTTTCCACGTCATTTTGAATGTGGGGAAAATCATAAGTTTTGAGACTTTTCTCTTTTACCCTGAGGTTAAGATCTAGAGCAATCCAGTCTTTAGGTGTTTTGGAGAACCATGGGGTTGGTCATATTCAAGACAAGAATCTTACCTTCTGCACGATCTAAAAAAATTTTTTTTTGATTTTTAAAAATTAGAGCTTCCATTGTGAACACAAGTAATCTTACTCCACACACTTTAGGCTACACTGTTTAATTCTATTCATATTTGAATGTTAAATGGATACAAAATTGCACTTTTAATATGTGCACGCTTATATTTCATTTTAAAAGGCTAACATGAATTTAACAAGAGCAGGAGGTAAAAAAATGAACTACCAAAACTTGTGGAAATTAAGTCATTCCCTCATCCCACCCCTGGTTTCTAAGCTCTGCATGATTCTTTCAGGTGGCAGATATGTACCTTGCATCCAAGTTCACAGCCTACGCCATCAGTGGCCCAACCGTCCAGGGCGGCCTCCCTGTGTTTCACTGGAACCGTTTCAACAAAACACTTCACAGGGGCATGCCGGAGAGCTTCGACTTTGATTTCATCACCATGAAACCCACTTTGTAGCAAGATAAAAAGGCGGGTGATGAGGGGAGGAATAGATAAATAAGATACCAAAGGCACTATTTTAGCTATGCTTTTCCTTAAAATAAACATAATAAAATTTATTGAATGCAGTCGTGGTCCTCCCCATGCTTGATCCTGCAGTTTGTCACATGTGTCTGACCAAGGGGGCGCTGCCTTCTCATGGAACCTCTAAGAGAAACCCAGTCAGTGGGTTTTCTACTCACCAAGAGGCACCCATTGAGCAACTATCCTCCTGGTCTACCACCTCACGTGTTTCAGTAGGTAAGATCAAGAGAGCAACTGCGTCCCCCAACTTCATTTTTGCAAAGTGAACAAGTGGATGAACCACCTATGTGACGGTGGTGGCAAGTCACTGCACAGTGTATGGGGATTCTTCAGGGGCTTACAAAGAGACCAACAAACCACCTGGGCTAAGAGTGATCAAAATGAATAGAAAATCACACAGAATGTTACAAACCCAGTAGTTTATTTCAAAGTATAAATTTCAGGCCTGTTGGACAAAATCCCACTACAGTTAACACTTATACAGACACCACTCTACCGTACATTTAAAAAAAGAAAATAACCACAAAACCTTCAAAACCTAATAAAAATAGGGCAACTTGCGATAGCCCACTTTATATTAGACATTAGGTCTTACACTGTCTTATTATTTACACTTTCAACTGCAATAAAGAAAAATCAGGATGCAAGTTTCCCACAAAGGATTAATTTTTATATTTAATTTTTAAATGGCTGATAAAATACTAAAGCCAAGATTCCCCAAAAGGTTTCTGATTGCCCAGTTACCTTATTTACAAATAAAACTTTTAAAAAAGACAGCATTTAAATATAAATGATGCATACTTAACTGACTACCAAAAAAGAAAAAAAAAGGTATTTTAAGACAGAATATGTGTTTGTATTGTCCTTTCTTCCCCACGCTGGCTGGCTCAAGGGGAGTAAGTTTCAAGAATTAGTTAAATCGGACACACTAATAAAATACCTCATGAGAATTGAGAACTGCATTTTTTTTTTGTCCCAATGTATAAAAGGGGCTTGGGCATTTGAGGAGGGTTTGGGGATTGTTTACTCAATTAAGTGGAAAGTAGAGCAGAATCATACATTGGTTTTTAGATAGTTACACGTAATAATCTAATACTGGGACATGGTTCTCTGGAAATTAGAATAAAACAATCCAATGATTAGTCAATGATAAAACTCCAACAAATAAATTCTAGCATACCAAAACAGCCCAGGAAGGAAGGTCGGGGAGAACACTTGTAAGGTTTTTGCATTACTCTACTGTGCTAAGATCACAGTGTATAAAAGTGATAGATTCCACAGGCATATTTTGTTATTCTTGTACAGTACTGGAAACTTTGTGGAACAAGATAAATGCATATCATGCAAATAGTAACACTCACCTTGCTGCATAAATGATCATTTAAGGAACATAAGCCAAAGAGCAAACAACAAAAACGAAATCAACTCTTATTCAATACAATAAGAGAACCGTATGGTGCGGCTGGCTCCAGGAGTTCTGCAGAAAGATGTACCTAAAATCCTAAGCTCCTTGCTTTAGGTCATTAGGAAAAAAAAATTAAACCTTTCATTTATTTTCTGGCAATGGGGACAGGGAGAGTGGGGTAAGCCACTCGGAGGCAAACAGTATCCCAATATTCACTTTAAACATTTTTACTCTCTGCTGCTCTCATAAAGGTCTACTGTGTTAACCAGTACACAGTACTCAGCATATTTTCAAAAAGTTGAGTCCAGAGAAATTGAGGGAACTAGTAACCTCAAAAAGTTAACATCAGATGTTATCTATGCATGTAATTTATAAATGTACTGGCAAGAACATAATTTTTAGAAGAGGCTTACTCACGCTTAAAACAGGGTGAAATTACTCTGACAAAGTGCAAAGTTGAGAGTAACCAACATCGTCGTTACCTTCAAATGCCACACAACCTCCCGTATTTCAGGTCGAAATATCAGAAGTTTCCAAGATTTCCAAGAGGGCAATACAAATATTGTCAGGCTGAACATGTAGCACGCTTGCATTCCCCAATGCAAGCTTATTTTAATACTTTGTGAAAAGGTGCCTCACAAATAAAAAAGGTACCGTGGACTGTGACCTGCTTCGAACAAGTCTCCGTCAGTCACTGTTACTAGTTTGAGTCTCCATTCTTTCTTCCCAAAGAAACAGACTGAAAATAATCAAGTGCTCATCATCATGAAAACCTGCCCCAAGTAAAAGCCTAGAGTTCTAGCCTCACACCTTCCAGTAAGCCCCACTAGAGATGCTGCCTATAAACCCTTTGGCAGTTGAATTCAAGGACATCATTTATATTTTTTCCCTTCAATAGTCACACAATCTCTCTTTGTACCTTCCACCATCTGGAACAAAGTCTTATTTTGCAGTAATAAGTGTAGTCGGAAATTTACAAGTTGAGAGTTTTTCTTTTAACAGAAAACACAATTCAGGTTAAAACAATAAACTATATTTGTGCTATTGGGCTTTCTTCACCTGATTAAATAATGCTCTGAAGCTTTAAAAAAAGACCAGGGAATGTAAGTAAAAATACTCATCAAGGGAATCCCTTTTAGGCAGGGTAAGCAAACTGTTATCACGTGACCGTAACACCGGAACAATCTCAACCGCGGGCGGACTTTCTTTTCTGTCAACAAGGATGCAAACACAAAGTGCACACTGACCGTTCACACAGGCCGTCTCGGACAGTGCTCACACACACCTGGAGGAGCAACAGCTTCTCCCTGATGAAATTTTCATTGGCATGACATTTGCAATTTCTTTCCCATCCTCAGTCCTGGAATAGGTAACATCTACATGGCTGGCAGATTTGATGCATGAATGTTTTAATTCTCTAGGTCTCGTTTTCTGAGGGTGAAAGGAAGAGTTGGGAGCCTTGACATTTTGGCAATCCATAGGCTTTCCTTAGCATCAATGAAAACTTCACGCCTAACGTAAGAGTACTCTGACCAGTGAAAGTCTCTCCAGAAAGTGTCTTTATGACTCAAATGCTTCATATTTCAAGCCATCAAAGTTGCAAACAAAGCAGCATTAATAGAATGGATGGCTTCCTCCTGGGATTCCAGGAGAAATTAAGGACTATTTTGAGAAGGCAGGAAAAAGAATTCAAATATGGGTAAGGGAAGATGATCTGAAAAGCCATTTCACAATCTCCTTGAACACCTTTAAACGTCCCCAACCACACTGTCACCCCGCAGGTAAGTGATAGGTATACACACACGCATACACATACCCAGCTGCCCTGACCGAGTCCATCTACTCAAGCAACCACCTGACACCTGTATCGCTGGTACTCCAAGACCTCGGTGAAACTTGGAACAGAGATGCATACAAAGTTTTGTCTAATTGCCATACGAAATGACCCCAGAAAGCATGTTTTACCCAAAGGGTAAATTCTACCTAGGGTAAATCAGAAAACTTGGCACCAGAGAAACAAAGTTAAAAGGTTAAATGGGAAGAATGAAATAAGACTAGAGGAAATGAAGCTTTCCCTTTGATATTTTAGCTCACTACATTTTGTCAATTTTCCTCTTTGCTTCCTTTGAAAGAACGCTCTGGGTGATAAAGTGAAGTAGAACTGCTTTCCTAATCTAACAGTGTGCAATATAGATACTAAAATACGTGTGAAGGAAAGTTTTCTTACACAATATGGTCTTTTCTTGGTCTACTTTACACACAGCTAATTTAAAATAGTGACCAAAAATAAAAGCATTTATATTGTTAGAATAAAATAGCAAGTCATGATTTGGAATGAAATGTAGTGATGGATATATATATACACATATATAAAAGCCTTGGTTTAAATCCCCTTGAGGGGAGTGTGCTCTATTTGGGGGAAGAGGAAGGACAGACGAAGGTGAAAGGCTGAAAGGGAAGAGTAAACAACAATGGGCAAATGGCCCCGCTTATATTTGTGGTTAATCTTTAAGGCACAAAATAAATGTAAAAGCCAGATTAGGAAAAGGAAGGGCTGTGGAAGATCTTTTTTTTAAAACCTAACAACCCAGAAGAGACAAAAGAAAAGATGAAAAGATCCTTTCCTGTGTTCAAATTAACTATTTAAACTATTAGATAATTTAACTTTATTTCTTTGGGTTTTGTTTCAATTCAGCTTAGATCACTCTGAACCTACAGACAGATCCCTTAAGATCCCTTAGTAACAGAATCAGGCCAGTTATATACCTCACTCAGACCCTCTGATCATCTACTTACTTCATACTGGAAGAGAGGTAAACTTGAGAATGAAAATGGAAGATCCCACTGCAATAGACATATAAATAGGGAAGAACACACACAAACACCCACACGTATTCCTTAATCTCAAAACTAAAGCAAGGTGCACATTTACATCTTAAAACCTTGAAGCTTGAATTGTCCAGGAAGAGATTCTTGCTTTATGGGCAGAGTTTATTTTACTTCTGATTATAAACAAATGTAGTGTATATATACATCTGTCCAAGAAATCTTGCACAATGTGGATTTACAATGGGCATCATGCACAAGATTAAAACAAGACCCCAAAATGGAACTTCGGAAAGAGGAAGGAAGGCTCCAGGGTTTAACTGCTCTGGGAAGAAGAGATCACATCTGTTGACTGCGGATCACAGAAAGGTCCAAAACGTCCATAAATATCCTTGGCTCGTACGGCGAAGTAGTATTTGCTGCCAGATACAAACTGGGTGAGAGTGCATGCCATGGGCAAGGGGAGTGCCTTGACCTCCCCAATCTTTTTCCATTGTGAGGGCACAGTGGCACTGGGTTCCTCATGGTACGCATAGAGATGGTAGCTATCCACAGTGGCACAGCTGCGATCCACCTCTAGGACACTCCAGGACAGTACAATGCCATTCTGACTCTGAACGCGCGCTAACTTCAAGTGTGGCTTCTGAGGCAGAGATGTGCTGGCAGCTTCTGGGGGCAGGCGCTGTGGCTGTGGGGCTTCTGGTAAGGGTGCTGGGTGCACAGGGCGTGGCGGCTCCTAGGAGACGAAGAGCGGGGGGTTAGAGTTAGACCCTCTTAACCATTATACAGAAACAAAAAGCTTACTGGGAAATGCCAAAGAGCACAGCAAATTTGACAAGCTCGGCTGAGATGACTCCTCTCTACTTCCTAGATCTAAAATAGTGTTGCCCGGGGCTGGAGAGATCACACAGCGGGTAGGGCGTTTGCCTTGCACATGACTGAACGAGGTTTGATTCCCAGCATCCCATATGGTCCCCTGAGCACCGCCAGGAGTCATTCCCGAGTGCAGAACCAGGAGTAACCCCTGAGCATCGCCGGATGTGACCCAAAAAGCAAAAAAAGAAAAAGAAAAAAAAGAAAAAAGAAAATAGTGTTTCCCTTGTGAAACAAAAGCCCTGGTTGCTAGAACATCATCTTGACAGAAGCTGAAATGATCATCCACTTCTAACAAAATAATGTTTGACTCTATGCTACAAATCCCCATGTGGTATACTTTAACAATATTACAAGTGGCAGTCTCATAGGAAATCTGAGTACCCAATATACTTTCATTTGTAGTGTTTTTCCACGTCAAGACAATAGCATATTCTTCCTCTCCTATGCTAACTGCATGTGTGTGCGCGTATGTGTTGGCTCCCAGAAATTGAACTAACAAAAGAAGTGATCTACTACTGAACTACATTCCCAGCCTTTCTTACAGCAGTTCATTAAATGCTGATTGTGTACTGAAATATGTACTAAATGTATAAAATGTGTATAATATATTGCTATTTGCCAGCCTACAAAGGTTCATGCTTTTAAAAGTGAGCATAAATGACAGGATTTTGAAATGCAGGAAACAGCTGTGTACCTTCCTACCAGGAGATCAAACACACGCAGAGGCATGAAAATAGCAAAGTTAGAAGATTCACTGGCAAAACAAGTGTTTACTTAGAAACAGGGTATGTACGGAAGGAAAAAAAAACTCAGAAGGAAGACTAAAGGCCAGATGATGAGAAAGCACAAGTTAAATTCATCCAACCAGCACTGGTCATTGCGGGTATTAAGATTTTAAGATTTTTAGATGCTAATTTTTAAAAGGATTAAAGCAAAATCTAGAAAATACTCATGAGTCATCAGTCATCTTTTTACTCATGTGAACTATCTCGGCTCAGTGACTTTAGATAAAAGTATTTAACTGAACTTCATTGACAAAAACTACGCTTGACTATCCATTTCATTAAGTAATTCATCACACTAAATAGGTACTTCAGTGAAGGTCAATGAGAACACTTAGGGTCACACCAGCTGAGCTCAGAGCTTACTCCTGACTGTGCCAAAGGAACATTTCTAGCAGTGCTCAGGAGACCCTATGCAGCACCTACTGGGTGAGCTGCACGCAAGGTAGGTGTCCTTGACCTCTGCTATTTTTAAGAACTCTTCAGTCTGCATGCCTCCTCAAACCTTAGTACCCATATCAAGCTGCACATATTAAGAACTTAAAAAGATTATCCTGAATAATCTCGGGAAACATAAAATAAAGCTCAAATTCATAAACATAATTGTAAAAGCTCTTATTTTCTAGAAATTCATGTCATAAAAAAGGTACAATCCAGAGTTTAAAAGCTAAAATTAAGCAAGGAAGAAAGAGAAATAACTGAAACACCCAAAGCTGGGGGCCCAAAAGATAGTACAGCGACAGGGTGCTTGCCTTGCACACAGCCACCTAAGTTCAATCACCAGCACCTCATACGGTCCCTGAAGCTCACCAAGAGTGTCCTCGAGTGTAGAGCCCGAGGAAGCCCTGAGCCCGGCCCAGTGTGGACTTGAAAAAAGAAAAAAGGCAGCTGAGGCAAAAGTAGGCTTAATATTGGCCTGTGTTGCTGCTTATCCACCCTCAAAATTTTTCTGAAATGACTCAACCACCTAAGGAGACAGCATGAAATAAACAAAAACTCATGGAGACCTAAGAGAAGACAGCTGAAGTCGTGAACCAGAGTGCAGGAAGGACAGAAATTTAGCGGGCAGGGCATTGCACACGGCCAACATGGCCGACCCAAGTTCGATTCCTCCGTCCCTCGAGGAGAGCCCGGCAAGCTACCGAGAGCACCTCGCCCACACGGCAGAGACTGGCAAGCTCCCCGTGACGTATTCGGTATGCCAAACACAGTAACGAGTCTCACAATGTTACTGGGCCCGCTCGAGCAAATCGATGAACAACGGGAAGACAGTGACAGTGACAGTGAACAGTAACTTCAATGGCTTGTCCTTTCTAGTTACTGAAATTCTTTTATCCCAAACAAGTTAAAACTTTGAGTTATTGTTTAGTTTCTGCAACTGCTATGCAGACTTCTGTTGAAGTTGTATAGACTTAATAATAATATGGCATCAGGAGTTTGCTTCAAACAATCCAGAGTAACATGGGCTGTAAGAATACGTGGGCAGGCCCACAGATGAAATAAAAAGGGCTCTGTGCTGACAACTATTTAAAAGGGTTAAGCGGTAATAATAGTCTACTTTTATATGCCTATATGAAAATTTTCACCAAAAAACATTTTTAATTACAGGAAAATAAAATCTGAGGATGAGGGAGAGAGCTCCAAAGGCCAGAGCGCAGGCTCTGCATGCTGGAGCACAGGGCCCAAGCCCTGATACCACACGATGCTCTCCACTCTCGAGCACCATCAGGTGTGCTCTGAAAAAAATAAAACGAAATTCTGAAAAAGTCTCACCTCTGAGTTATGAAGCTACAAGAGAATACACATAAAACCCCCTTTTGTAAAAATCTCTGGTGGAAGCCGGAGCAATAGTACAGCAGGCAGGGCGCTGGCCTTGCACAAGGCCAACCAGGGTTCAATCCCCGGCATCCCGCATAGTCCCCCAGGCACTGCCAGGAGTGATCCCGGAGCTCAGAACTAGGAATAAGCCCTGAACAACTACAGTTGGGCATGGCTCCCCAAAAAACACAAAAGCTCTGATGGGGCGGGGTTAGGGAAGGGGTATGGGGCATGGGCCAGAGAGATGGTCCAGCAGGCAGGGCACCTTCCTAGCTGCTGTCAATCCCTGACACCGCTCACTGTCTCTGTGTACTGCTGGGAGTGATCCCTGGAGGAAGTCTTAAGGACCACTTGGTGTGGGGAAAAAAAAAAAACCATAATCAAGTTATAATTACAGAACTTTAGTGTAAAGCCAAAGATTTGTTAATAAATATTTTTGAAGTAATTTAGAATGAAATATTTTTTATTAGTTGCAAGCAACAGTAATGCAGTAACTTGCCCTTGACCCTAGTAGGGCCAGACTAAAGTGCTCTAAAAACACTCTGCAGGGCTGAGTTCTATTCTGTCCCTGACTTATTTTGGAAAATGACACTGAGTAACATCGGTGCAACATATTACCCTTTTTCTATCAAAGGAAAGTGATCCTCATAAGGTCTTGAGAATTATATTTGGCAATATGTGCAAAACACTTAGGAGTGCCTATCTGTAATTTATCTTGCAGAGAGTACTTTAAAGCCTAGAACACTCCAATGCATTTTAAATAGAGTAGCCATCTGTAATTTTTTCATCATAATGGGACAATAAAAAGTAATAGGCAGTAAGGGCATAGGTTCATAACGCTGAAAAGATGGATTTGACCTTGGGCCATAGTTATGACTGCTGCCCTATGTATAATAAAAGAGAGCAAGGCTTCCTGAAGGATTCACGTATGTGAAGAACGTCTGGACAGAGGAAATACTCAATGGCTGCTGAGCATTATTATGAGTGCTTAAAAAAAATTTAGTAAGTCAAAAGTGGTTATCAGCCTCCTAATCATCTCCTCTCCCTCACAAAGCTTGCACATCCATTTACATGTTGTACACACTAACCAAGTATTTACAGTCACATCACAGGATGTATATTGTTCCAGAGGCTAAATCAAAGAGAAATCTTTGGTTTCCTACCGACTCTTAACAAATGAATTATTTAAAAAAATAAAGTGACAGCAATAAAGCACAGACGATAAGGTTTGAGGTAAACAAAGCACATACGAAACACTTGTAAAATACTATTCTTTTCTACTCTTTTGAGGGCCTCTGAAGCAGTTCTCAGGGCCCTGAGACAACTCCCAGCAAAACTAAGTCCACCAGGCCAGTGGAGCAGTGCTCAGGGCCACGGGACCACCATGCTTGGGGCCTCTAAGGCCACACTTGGGGATTTCAAGTTGTGTCAGGGTCCAAACTGGGGTCAGACACATACGACACACACCCTAACCACCTCCATGGCCCCACTCTTCCATTGTTCCACTTCACCTGTTTCAGCTGTGAACTCTCTTACACAGTACACAGGGGCACAAGCAAAAGTCAATGATGCTGGCTCAAGTGAATAAACAGCTCAGAGGGGAGAGCAGGAGAGAGAGACCAGGTTTGACCCCCAGCACTGGACAGTCCCATGAGCAATGGGTCAGGAAGAATCAGGCCTGGAGCCCCTACACCACTGGGTATTGCTCCAAAACAAAACACACCCAAAAACTCAGCAATCTTCAATGATCACCATCCCAAGAACATTAGTTCATAGTAATATAAAATTTATTTTCTTAAAAAAAAATTTGTTGCTAGAAAGATAACTGCTGTTTCCTTTTGATGAAAGAAGTTTAAAGATGAAACTTCGAAACAGAGTAATATTTGCCAGTGTGCAGCTGAGAACTCCCTAAACTTACAGTATGCACTTGAGGTGGCCGGTGATGCACGGTGAGCTGAGGTCCTGCTGATCCCAGGGTTAGGCCATTGTTTACAACATATGTAGTTGCTTGAGGCACTCGAACTGTGACACCTGTGCAACAAGAAACAAAATGAGAATTCTAGTCTAAACGTGGCAGAAGACTGACTCAACATTTGAAGGCAGTAAAGCGAGGTCTTTAAAATACGAAAGCAGAAAAAGCCAAAGTAGCACCTGCACATGATAAATCAATAAATGTAATACGTGAAATTAACAACAACAAGAAAAGCACTTTCATCAACCCTCGTCTCAATTAGTTACTGGAGGATGAGAGTCACTGATAGAGACAAGAGAATCAAGGACACAGACCTGGGTAGACTGGTCTGGGCTGAGAACTCTGGGGCCTTCTTGAAATGGGGGTGGGGGGTAGGGTGGCAGGGGATAGGGGAGACTTTCCCCTTTCTGCTAGAAGGTCCAGAAGCCCACAAGCCACACTTGAAACCCCGTCATAGAAATGGCCCAGCTCCACAACTTAATCTCATCCAACTGCCAACTCGTCAAATTGTTCTAAATCTTGTACTCTTGTACTGTACGACTGTGTAAATTTCAGAATACTGTCAACCCAGTAGAGGATCACAGCAAATCAGACCGAAAGTTGCCTCAAAGACCACCAGGATCAATGAGCCTAACAATAACACAAAGGGCTCAACCAGCAACTGCGCAGACAGCAGATTCTCAATGACTTCAGTAACACCAACATGAGACAACAATGATCGGAAATTCACTCTCATTGATCTAAGTTTTGGTGATTCCATTTGCCTCTGTAAAATGAAATATATTTGTTTGTGTGTCTGCAAGGGGGCAGGCGGGGGGAGGTTGGTGGTGGGAAGCATACTGGTGGTGGGGTTAGTGCTGGAACATTTCATTCCTGAAAACTATAGTATGAACTTGGTAAATCGTGGTGTCAGAATAAAAGAAAATTTTTTAGAAGGAAAACCCAACATGCACTGGAGACAAATCACTGGACTCCACCACGGCAGTGGGGACCCTCACACTGGCACGTGGCCAGCTGGTGCAGGTCTCTTCGTCAAGAAAGAAGAGCATTAAATGAATGGTTTGATGCCCCTCGTGTTCCTGGAGTGAGCAGATGCCGTTGGGCTACACTAGCATGCGACAGAGACGAATGGAGACGTTATTGGCATCCGCTCGAGCAAATCGATGAGCAACGGGATGACAAGTGACAAGAATGATACTGCAAGCACTTTTTGCTAAATCAAATGCTACCATCCATCACTCCAACCCCACAAAACGGAAAGAGCCTCTTACTATTTGGGGGGTTGACCTGCCGAACAGCAGGCGCCTGCATAACTGCTCCTCCGCGCAGGGGAGCCTGGGCTGATGGCGCTGGCAGCGTCGTATAAACCACCTGGTGGTTCGCAGGAGCTCTTGGAACGGGGAGTCTTGTGGTCACCTGAGTTGCTGGGCGATGTGTTACATTCACGGTAGTTGGAGCTGACACAGAAAAGAAAAAATAGGTTAATGCAGTAAATTCTCTGCTTAACGTAACTAACCTTGCACAAAACCTATCCAGAGAAAAGAAATCGGGACAAGAGTCCCTTCCATAATCTTATCCAAGGAGAATTAGAGGGCGACCCTCAGTGCTCGAACGAGGCGCTGAGCAGAAAGGAGCAGCTGACCAGAAAGTAAGCATGTGAAGGAAAACAATGTTTAGGCTTGAGGACAACCTTTTAAAGCAAAAATTTTTAAATTTTCAAGCAAAATGTTTCCCTCTTCGCTCTGTTATGAAGTTCTTAGCAGTGCAGATATTTCGGTCATCCTGGCTTCCTACCAATGGGTATAAATCAAATGAGAACTATATCCCAGGTTCAAGGGCCCGGCTGGCTATTACAAATGGTGCTTCCCTCAGGTTAAACAATATCTTAATGAAAGCAATAAAACATCCATTAAAAAAAAATCCTCTTTCTTGTCCTATAATCTATATCCCAGAAAGCATTACTGCTCTGAGGAATATTAATACAGATCTACTAAAAAATGAGTCCTAAATGTTCATTGGAAACATGAAACTACAACAATGATTATAGGAGTTAACAGTCTCTTGTTAATAACTCTGCAAATAGAATCATCTTATAAATATGATGCACTATAAAATTAAGAGCTACTTTCATATGCAAAAATGGATACTATAATAAAACCAATTTGGAGGTTAATGCTGGCTCGAACAACGATAAAAAGGATTTCTTTACTAAAGAATGCTCAGGGTTTACAGATTGTAACTTTCAATGTTAGCCTTTTAAAGGGAAGAAAGCATATCAGAAGAGTTAGCTCTTCATCTTTTTATTTCCCATTTTATTATCTATAGTGCACATGCATAAAGGATATTTCTCCCTAAAACATCTAAATCCGGCGACTCATCTTGATTTTTCTGGCTAACATCGAGTTGTGGACTCAATATTTTCCTTAGTGGGAAAAATGCTTTTTATATTAGCAATTTTCAGATCATCTGTAGGCACTGGGTTATTTTATAAAGACAACAAACTGTCCTAATTATCTTCCAGCTTAGGATATTTAGGCTGCAAGATATAAGTGTCCAATTCACAGCTTCTTGAGGTAGCATGTACAGTAGTCTGTCTCCTGATAGATGTGCCAGGTCAATCAAATTAAGAACAGAACCACGCCACATTTCCTGTCTTATCTTTCCACTCAATGGGTTTTGCATGCTTCACTGTGGGCGTCAAGAGTTCCAGCTCAATGACTCAGCACATTTTACCGGTGGGCAACAAGTGTATGGTTGTCTGAGAAGGTCCACTTGTCGGCACCCCTGATGGCTGAAGAGGCGGGGCTGGCTGGATGGGCTGCAGCGGTCGAGATACAGGCTGAGAAGCGCTCATGGTGGACACTGGGGCATGACTCAGCTTCTTAGGCTCTGTTCATGTGAAAGAAAGGCATTATGATTACTGAAAGAGCAAAACCAGATACAGGGTTAATGCAGGACCACGGGGAAACAGTGTCATTTGAGCTAAGCTAAGTGTTATCCTGACTGCTCATGTTCTCTACTACTTTGCTTATACTCAAGACTTTCTTTCCATCTTACTATCATTTAGTGCAGTGCTGGGCCTTGAACTGAGGTCTCAAAGACGGGGGCAAGTGCTATACTGCTACATCCGTAATGTTGTTTTTTTTTTTAACTGGAATGCAAACACCACTCATTTTAAAAGGACACAAATATATAAATCATAAGACTGGATAATCATAATCTTATCATTGATTACACAGGATTAGAGGGAAAATGGCATCAAAGCATTCCTTCATACAAATGCCTTTATTTCAGTACCTTGTGAAGCTCCACTCTCTTCATCATCCATCGTGAGATCAATGACACCACCCGAATCACTGCTAGAGGCTTTTCCACTCTGGAAAACAAAACACCTGCATTTTGCAAAGGAAACTCTGGCAGACAGAAAGGACACTGCAGGAAAATAAGGTAAATAGCCTAGTCCACCTGTACCCTTAATTGGATTTCCTTGGACAGAGTCTGGCAGGATTACTTCTGAGCTAAATATCTACTGTGTAAAACAAAACAGCAAAAAATGAAATAGCTTCACTAAAAAAACTTTTATAAGGTTTTTAAAAACTAAGTTGTCAATTGGAGAGAGCTTATTAACGTGACTGGGTGCTTTAAATGATTAGACACAAAAACCATTCACTTTTTAACAGCCAAAATAACAAATCTATTCTACAAGGCCCAATTACTAAGTGTTCATAAAAATACCAAACATAAGTGTATAGCTAGAATTACATTACACAAATGACCTAAAGTTATTTTTTCTTTAAAATGATTGATTGGTTGTGAGTTAATGTCAATTAACATCCAATTGGACCAACTTCAACACTATCCGAAGCCATCTGAAATGTAACTAAACATTTTTTTGAATCACTTAACAACAAAAAGCGGCGGGGGGGGGGGGGGGGGGTATTTATAAATAACCAGGCTCTTCGAAAGACTGAAAGAGCACCACAGAGACGTCCCTGAACCCAGCACCAGGTTGTCTCATCCAGGGCAACCCGGAGGTGGGTGACTGAGTTCCCCACCTGGACAGAGACCCAGGCAGTTGAAAATCTCCACAACTGAATCCCTGCCATGCTTACAGCAGATCTCCACAAACCTCGGAGAAGCCTAACCTATGAGTGAATCTGATGAAAAACCCTGGTCTGCCAGACCTGTGTCTCACATCTCCAGGCTCACAAGAAGTCGGGAATGGGTGAGCTCCCCCCATCTCCCTGTGCTTCCAGTAGCCTGGGAACCACATCCACAAACTGCGTCTGGTGCCATATAAGCTGATTAATGGCCCTGATCCAGAGACTCGGAAATAAATCTCTTGGAAGAAAGCAACACAGAGCGACGCATCACAGAGATGCCTCAGGACCCCAAAGTCACAATCCAGTTAAAAAAAATTTTCTTTATTACCCTCAGCTGTATAGCTGCTATTTAAAATTTTTGAATTCAGGAGTGTACAGCTGCGTTTGTGGCTGCACGACATTTCATACTCGACACCACTGATGTACCAAGAGCAGTACACCACATTTGATGGAGTGTAAAGCAGAAGGCAACTAATCTTGGAAGAAAAAAATATATATATATGTGTGTGTATATATATATATATAAACACACAAGACTCAACCTTTAACAACATGTTCGCCATCTTTTATACGAGGGCTTAATGGCCCCAGGATGAAATACAACAATCTTCACACACTTTCCTCTAAAGAAACTTTTTTGCATTATTTTTTGCTAATTATTCACAACAAGCAATACAAAATAAATTATTTAGGTCCTCCAAAACATGGATTTACAATTCTGTAATAGTGCATATAACTCCATTATATGTTATATTTATATTATGCTGTATTACTAAGATATTATTCATGTCCATGCTATAGACAATTATGTCTGTACTTACTGCATTCATATAACTGACATACATTCAAAGCTGAAACTGCTATTTCGAGCAGGCATTTCTGAATCAGGTTATCTGCCTAATCTCTGATAGTGAATTCCTCTGCCTCTAAACTGAATAAAAGATTCTTTGAGAGTTATTAGGATTTGACTGCACTATCTCTTTGTTGTTGATGCAGTTACTGTTTCAGGTGTTCTTTGAGTTGATTGGTACAAGGTGTTTCATGAACTATGACAGCTACTTCTAAACTCTATGAAGTGTGGAGCAATAAAAGTTGTTTTAGCTTTTCTAAGACAATTGGATGTGAATAAATTTTATTTGAACATTCCAGGCCTCGATATCAAATTTTTTTTAATATAAAACTACGGTCCACCAAATATTCCATCACTGAATATACACCCCTGACCCAATTTTACTTCAATGTTTCTACTGTAATAGACATTGTATTATATACACTGCCAATAAGCTGTTCAATAAAGGTTTTACAATGGTGTAAACATTTCATTATCTCCCCCCCCAAACATGGTGGTCACTAGTCCAAGAAACTATTAAGCCTTGAAATAAAGCTACTGTAACAGAGGTGATCTTCTAATTTTAATGATATAAGACTTAAAATATTTTCATTTGAATGACGACAAGAAGCTAGTGGCCATGGGAATAAAGAGTGTGACAACACAAGATCTACCATTTATACATGATGAAATAGTTACTAAAATGTTTTTTCCTGTCCTGAAAAATGCTCTCCAAGCAAACAAAAGATTACTGAGATAAATTCTTTGTTGAGTTCGAAATGTACTTGATGAAATAAAATTAGATTTCCTATACATGTCACATAAAAATCATTGAATATATCAACATTTTCCATACCTTATGTCTTTATCAAGTACATTCCTATACTTCCAACTGGAAGCAACTATGACCCTCAAGAGATCCTCAAAAATAACTACTACCATGCCATTTAGGATCCTACACCAAGACTACTAAAATTTGTCAAACAGAGAATTTTCAATAGTTTTAGTGTGATCTCTAAATCGTGGCATACATCTAGCTTTGATTCAAGTCTGTTGTGTTAAAGGGGGAAAAAAACCCTGAAAACAGAGATTATATCCTTGTCTTATATTTTGTGTCATTTTTGTGTCTAATTTATTCAAGATATTTTGATTTCCTAGGAAGCAGTTTCTTAATTATCAACTATCTAATAACTTTTTTTTTCCTTTTTGGCTCACACCCAGCAATGTTCAGTGGTTACTCCTGGCTCTGGTAGTGTACTCAGGAATTACTCCTGGTGGTGTTTGGGAGACCATATGGGATGCCGGGGATTGAACCCAGGTCAGCCACGTGCAAAGCAAATACCCTGCCCACTGGACTATTGCCCCAGCCCCCAAAAGTCATTAATGTCTTAATGTCAATTACAGCCAATGTAAAATTAAAATTAAAAAATGTAAAAGTAAAAGTAAAATTGTTATAGCAAAAAATAAATCAATTGACAAAATTTCTGGGTGACTAAAATTTTATATAAAAAAAATACCTAGACTGGAAGAACACTAATAAGCTATTTAGAAATACCAAGATTTTCTTTCCAGTTATTTCTGATCAGCTTTGAAAAACTGATTCCTCAGCGAGTGTGTGGAATGAGAGAGAACAAAAGTAAGAAAACCTGAGAGACCTCCCAACAGAGATGGGTCAGGAAGAAGCTGAGTAGATAATGTACCTTCACAGTATAGCAAAGCAAAGATCTACACTGATAAATACGCAATCTATGAAGTTAGTTAAAACAATGAACCAATTTTCTTTAAGAGAATTATTACGCAAAAAGAAAAAAACCCTCTAGATTATCATCAAATACCATATGGAAATTGTTTGAAAATATTGGGGTAGCTATAAAAAAAGATTTAGAATAACTTTTACTGTATCAAAAAAGTAGAAATCTACTGTATGTAATTAGAATTTTATTTTGGAACAGAAGAGAAGTCCTACCTGTGACGTGCTATCAGCTGCTTTCTTATTAACGGAAGCATCTATTGTTTTGCTTGTCTGGTTTTCTGAGAAGTCAAAAAACAAAAAATCATGTGAAAGGTTTAGCTGGTTCACATACACCAATTCAAGTGACTTTCTCATAGATAAATAAAAACTATCATAAGTCACTGCTATAAATATACAAACAGCAAATTTCACAATAGAGACAAAAACTTCACGTTTAGAGACCAGGAAATTTTGAAATAATTTAAGAAATGCATAGTTTAAATGTCCTACCATAAGCAACTTGTTAAATAAAATGAAGTATATGTCCACACTTTATGCTTTCAGAGGCAAAATAATTTTACATGGCAAAAAATGTAATATTCATTAAAAACAGTGATTCTGAGAAAATAACCAAGCATTATATCTGTCATTCAGTCACAGATGTTTATTCTTTACTCATTTTTCAGTCCACACTATTAATTTTTCAATAGGAACATATACATGAAAGTTACTTCCAGAACAAAAGGAGAATAAGCTGAGTATGTTTTTCTGTCTTAAGGACTTTTATACTCTCAAGTCTACTAAGGTCATTGTTGAGTTTTTCCTCCTTGATAATGTGGGCATTAAATTAATAAGAGCTTTCTAAAGCATTTCATTCTTACTTTCTGTACATAAAATCCTTGGTCAAATAATACTGCTTGATTTCAGAAGATAGGCCAGCACGTAGGGCGAGTGCCCAGCATGGGCATGACCCACATACAGGTGAAATGTGTGTGTGCGTGTGTACATGTATACGCATAATGTGCGTATACATACTTTTGAAAAAATAAACTATAAATAGAACTATGTATTTCCATAGAGATATATAAGTGTACATCAGACGTAAATTAATATATATATATATAGAGATCTACATGTTAAGACAGTTAAAGAAGCAAACAGAAGGTCCTTTTCACTTTTCCCTATTCAACTTGAATTACCCACCAATCCTCAGCAGTTACTCCGAGCAGTGTCCAGGGGACGATACAAAATGCCAGAGACTGAACCCAGGTTGGCCACATACAAGGCAAGCGACCTACCCACTGTACTATCTCTTTGTATCTTAGTTACTTTTATATAAAAAGTGTATCACTTAAAACTACTTAAGAAAAAACCAATTCCAGGTTACTTATTCAACATGCAAGAGTCAAAATCCACTAATGATTGTCTCAAGCCAAGAACCAACTTCTGGGACTGGACATAGTGCTTACCGCCTGTGTCCCTTTTACTAGGAACTTCTTGATGCTCAATGTAATATTCATTGTTTCTTTTTTTATTTTTTCCACTTTGGATGACTTATAAAACTAAGTTGAGAATTTGTCCATAGAAACTGTTAAGTACATAAAATCAGAAATTGTAAGAAACATTTATCTTCTAGAAACACGCTACCTTAATTTTTTTACAAGCACCCTCTCATTTTTATCAGTCACAAGGGAGTTTTACAGGAGAGCCAATTACGACTGTTCTAATTGCCACTCCTCAAAAGTGGGTGATTATTGTACAAAAGTGAATGGAATGAAAATTTTTTTCAATGATTTTCATCTATATCATCGCTCACATCTCTGTGAGGACTGCCTATGACTTATTTCCTTTTTAATCCTCTCCAAAGTACTGCCCTCACTGTAGTCAATGTTTTTGAATGTCAGACATACATGCCCTCTGCAAAAACCCTTTAACTTTATTTCTCACCATTTTTACATTCACTATCTCACACTTTTCTAGCTCTCTCATAATCTTTTACACAAATCTGCAGGTTCTTAGCACTCAGAATATGTATAATTAATTACTGACTTAATAGTCAAGTTCCCTGTGTGACTGTGAACTCAGTGAGAACAGGAACTGTTTTGTATATTTTTAGAGTAATACAGGTATGCAGAATTTTAGAATACAGCTGTTCAGTATTTCAGAGATTAATAAAATTAGTTATGATTTGAATACTAAATTTCAGATTAATCTGTTACACATTTGATTCTACTATAAGTAGAAAATATACTTTTGAAGCTATACAATGAAAAAAATATAAATGTATCCAGTTCGGTTTTATGACATATGAAGTGGATAACAACCTAAGTGTAGGATTTACAAAGTTTTAACTGTGTAACTAGTTTATCACATTAACGATATATTAAATTTTCATCTCAAATCTACCTGTTTAACCAAAGGTTATTTCGCTTCAACTTAGGTTTTAAGAAGCCAAAACAACTAGATGCGTATCTTAACGAGATTTATGACAATCCTGAATTGATGCACAATCGAAGAAAATATGGTCGCACAGGATTTTATTCTTTTTTGTCTGTTTTGTGTTTGGGCCACACCTGACTTATTCCCGACTCTATGCTTAGGGATCGCTCCTCGCAGGGACTGAACCTGGTCAGCCATGTGCAAGGCAAGCACCCCAGCTACTATACCATCTCTCTGGCCCCTCACAGGAGCTTATTCTAATTAATACTAAGAACAACACAAAGTTGGCCATTCACGTTCTTATTAATATCTAATAATTCACTTTTAAATGTAGGTGAGTAATCTAGATAAAATGAAGATCTTTTAAGTAATTTACATGTCTCAAATGTTAAGAAGTCTAATATAACAAAAGTAGTAATTTTTGTTTTTAAACACTAATAGCACTTGTCCTTAAATTCTAATTGTTTTTAAATACTAACAGTAATTTCAAGACTATTTTAAATACAAAAATAAGAGTCAAATATTTAAATTCAGAGTTAACACCATGACCAGAGATCATAAACAAGGTAAATGTTACAGATACATATTAGGGTCAGTAAAAGTTCAGAGAATTTTTTGCTTGCTTTTGTTCCGAGGCCATACCCGGGGGCTGACTCAGGGACCACTCCTGGTGGGGCTCAGGGGACCAGATGGGATGCTGGGGATCGAAACCTGGTTGGTCATATGCAAGGCACCTTAGCTGCTGTACGATTACTCCAATCCCAAACATTCATAGAACTTTTACAAGAACAAAATAAAAAAATTAAAATCCTGCTACTTCTACGTATATGGAAAATAGTGCCACTCATAACATGGAACAATAATTTAGTAAGTCGATTATTTCTGGGACCAAAGAGAAGAAGGGTCATGGGGCTGCAGCTCATGAGCTGCAAGCAGGAGGCCTGGGTTTGAGTCCCTTTACCACATGGTCCCCAGGGCACTGCCAGGACAATTCCCAGGCACTCAGCCATCAGTACACCTTCAACTCCACTGGATGTGACACCCAAACAAAAAATTATTTCTTTCCAGGCTATAACCTTTCAGGTAAAGGTCTGTATTTAAGAATACCTTGTGATCAGGAATAGCAACTTGGGCTCAAAATTTCAGAGGAAAAATTCCAACATCACATACAACAATGTCTATGATAAGAGTTAATATCTTCTACCTGACATACATTTCAGTCCAACATTAAAGGTGATCCACCACTTATTTATTTTCTCTCAACATTATATAAAACACTACCACTATTTTGTATGAGAAAAACAGACTCAGATGGCTGGCTGTCATAGCTTACTGACTACATGTGAAATTTTTAAAAGGCAAGGCTTATGTATAATATTCATAAAAGTAAGTAGTATTTCAGAAGCTGTTTAGTAAGGTTACCTATTAAGGTAAACACATTACTGATTTCATGACATGGCCTACCCATTCTTATATTCAAAGGCAGTGGGGTTCAACAAGAAGTCACATATAACAAAAAGTTTAAAAAGCATATAAAACGTACGCTTTCTGGGAACAAAGAAGATAAAGACCTTTACAGACTTTATACATAAGCAAAATAAATTTATTTTGGAATAAAATCAAAAAACTATATAATAATCTCATGTAAAAAATTTTAAAGAAGATCAGACAAGTTTTAATGTTTTAAAAACTATTCCATTTGAAGATGTAGGTGATAATTTTTCCAAATAGGTAAAGATTTTTAATTTTCCTCTTATAAGCGGGCTGGAGCGATAGCACAGCGGGTAGGGCGTTCGCCTTACACGCGGCCAACATGGCCGACCCGAGTTCGATTCCTCCGCCCCTCTCGGAGAGCCCGGCAAGCTACCGAGAGTATTCGATATGCCAGACACAGTAACAAGGAAGTCTCCAATGGAGACGTTACTGGGCCCGCTTGAGCAAATCGACGATCAACGGGAGGGCCTTTTACTTTTACTTTACTTTTTATAAGCACTCATTATGCCAATAAGATCCTTTAAGATTTATTTATTCTATTCAATATTCTTGGCAAACTTTAAAATAAGTCATAATTCATAGTGCACAACCTAAATTAAAATTTTCAACTACAAGATATAAAACATTAACTTCTCAAACACTCAAATTTTATTTTGACATCATTTCTCTAATAAAATAAAATTATTAAGACTAATCTCTCATAAAATCGTATTATTCTGCTTCTTCACTAATAGCAGGCGCAGGAACACTATCTACGCAGGTCATTAACATGAATGCATATCTATGATTAAGTCTACACGAGTAACTTACCAATTCTTGACGTGGTGCTGCTGCTCTGTTCTGCAGGAGATGACGTACTAAAAGCAGAGATTGGAATTTTCATCTGGATAGGCCCTCGGTTATTGGACGGACTATAGAGTCCTGAAGGGCCCACCGTGGGTAAGGAAGTCCTTGTGGCTTGCACGATGGAGTGTGCTGTTGACACAGCCTGTACAGCAAGGGTTGTGCCCAGCGAAGCAGCACTGGCTGGAGAGTTCCTCTGAATACTGGGACTGGGCACGGAAGAAACGGTGCTCGGTTTGATGGGGTTTGGCAAGGATGGCAAGGACACCTGGCTTTTGGTCAGACCACTCACTGCAGGTGGGCTCTGCACAGAAATGAATTCAACGTTGCCAGACGGCTGATTGGTCACTAACGTCCCTGGATGACTCTGTAGGAGTTGAGGCTGGGAGGACACTGCCACAGGTACGTGCAAGATCACTGGCAAAGACTGTAAAGAGATTGTAGGTTGGGGGTTTCCACTAGGCACCTGAGTAGAGGCAACTACTGTAGCTGTGTTGGGCGCAGGAAGAACTGAAGCTGCTGTCAGAGAACCTGAAGTTACTGGAGTCTGCAGTTTCGGCTGGCCACTGGCAGCAGCTGGAGGAGTGACCATACTGGTTGACGATACTGCAGAAAGAAAAGAAATGGTATCAGTTTAAAAGGCTGCCTTCATTTATCAGCGAATGTAATACCTACAAACCTAATGCTGCACCTGACTAAGTAATGTTCTTCGTAAGAAAATCCTTCCAAATTCAAATTCTGGAAACTTCAGAATTCACTCTGTAGAAAAGGAAGTCCATTTACATCTGTGTGGTACATTATGGAATGCTATTTCAGCAGCAAAGAAGCCTCTGAATATTACTATGATCACCTCAAGAGTAAATAACGGGAAAAAACCTGAAATCTATGTAAAACTGCACAAATACTTTTGAAATTACACTTAAAATATTGTAAATGCTGATGAGCTCCAATAAAAAATATACATCATGAAGAACCAGCATAGCTTGATCCTATTTCATCATTTAGACCAGATGAAATTATATGTGTGTGGTTCAACTTTATTGAATGCCCTGAGAGAACTGGACAGAAGAGGATGCTTTTTAATGGATACACTATAAATATAATATGGAAAAGAACCCAGTAACGTCTCCATTGGAGACTTTGTTGTTACTGTTTCTGGCATGTCGAATACGTCACGCTGGAGCGATAGCACAGCGGTAGGGCGTTTGCCTTACTAGTGGCCAACATGGCCGACCCGAGTTCGATTCCTCCGCCCCTCTCGGAGAGCCCGGCAAGCTACCGAGAGTATTCGATATGCCAGACACAGTAACAACAAAGTCTCCAATGGAGACGTTACTGGGCCCGCTCGAGCAAATCGATGATTAACGGGAGGGCCTTTACTTTACTTTACTTTATGGAAAAGAACAGAAAAATGGAGAACAAACACAAATGAGCACAAGAAAAATCCAAAATGCCATCACTGAAGTTCTCTGGTAATTTTGGCTCCCTCACGCTTACTGCCAACGCACAGAGGTTTGACATGACCAAGGTTCTGACACTGACGTTTGACTGATGTGTCTTTCCAACATCATGGGTTCTCTAACAGTTCCCTCAGTATGCTTCTGAGGGACAACTCTGACTACCGAGACCTTGGTCAGACCAAAGTCTGCAATTATAAAATGTGGAGTGTCTGCACTCCAAATTTGGGAGTCCGCAATTATAAAATGTTCATGACGATAAGACATTTCAGCTTTTGTTACCATGCAGCCACTGATGATAATGGAACCAAACTAATGGTGATTTAATTCCTTGTACCGGTATAAAATTCAAGGTGGGTACCAAATTATCACTACACTCTTTACCACCACAGGCTCACAGAAAAATAAATCAGTTTCACTTAATGTTCTTGAGAAAGCAATTAAAAATGATCAACTTTATAACATGAGTCCCCGAGTACAGGTCTCCTTAAATAATTTGTGTGAAGAAATACAAACAACACATAAAACGTCAGTACTACATACCAGCACAAGATGGCTGGTTTAAGAACAACTTGTTGACTACTATTAAAGTCACAAGCTGACAACCTTTTTTCAAGATTTTTGTTGTTGTTGTTGTTGTTGTTGTTGTTGTTTGGTTTAGCTACATACTGGCCGTGCTCAGGGCTTACTCCTGGCTTGGGCCCAGAAGTCACTCCTGGCAGGGATTGAAGGATCACGTTTAGTGCCAGAAATCGAAACTGGATTGGCTGTATGAAAGGCAAGTCCCTACCCACTAGTATACTATCTCTCTGGTCAATGAAGTAAAGCAAAAACTTCAACTTTGGGAGAAATATTTTTCAGCTAAAACATCAAGTTTCCCAATCTTAGTATTTCTGAAGGCTCAATAGTGAAATAAACGTGATGTTAAAAAAATAAATATTACTGTTGAAATTTATGAACCTTTGGAAATTTTAGGTATCAGTGAATATTTTCCAAATGATCAATAAATCAGTGCAAGACACAGAGAAAAATAAAAGGATTTTAATGAAAAATTATAAAATTCCATTGAATGGGTTTTATATTCTACTTTTAAAGCGCCTTTGAGAAACTACCATTTGACTGTAAAAAGGCAGATTATCCATTAAATATCTGTCCTCAGGAGGAATTCCTTTCCCATACCTCACAGAAAAAAAACGAACTACAAGGTTTAAAGTGGGTATGTGAATCCAGCCATCTTCAGCCGTATTAATATTTTAAGTGAAAAAGGAAGTTGTAGGGCCCAAGAGGCAACCTAACAAGCTGAGTGCACTCTGCATGTCAGGGGCCTGGATCTGACGCCCACACTACAGGGCCACTGAGCACTACAACCCCTGAACACAGAGCAAGGATTAGCCTCTTTGAACCACTGTGGGTAGCTCAAAAATAAAACTTCAAAGAGTAACCTGTAAAGAAGTAACATAATCAACACTTTCCCACTGACTTTTTCAAGCTTGCAGTTATTTTTCATTAAAGCATGTAATTTAGAGTCACTGCTTTAACTCAGCAGAGCACATTTCTAACATGTGTGATATCTTAATTTCAATCCCTTGTATTGAGGGGGGAAAAAAACACTAAATTTCTGCGACACATGTTTGCTATTGTTTTTATATGAAATAAACATGAAAATTAGCTCTAATTCCCACTGTAATTATTAACAGAAGCCACACATGAACAACAGCTCACTGGGGTTCTTAATTAATGGCCTTTTAAGATTATACAAGGATAGGACTGGAGCCATAGTACGGTGGGGAGGATGCTTGCCTTGCACGCATCCTTTTTTGGTCTGATCCCTGGGCACCCAAATGGCCCTCCAAGCCTTGCCATGCTCGCACAGTCCACAAAGATATGGAGACCAGAAAGTCTGATAACCATTACAGTGGTTAGAATTTCTTCATCTGTTATCTGTGATCTTGATGTTTTTTAAATAAAATTCTGTTAGGATTCAATTTTAGGTCAATGCATTGCTCTTAGGACCAGTCACACCTCAAAGAATGTAAAAATAGGAGAACCAAAGCTTTCAATTACTATGGATCTGCATCTTAGTATTACAGAATATTACCTGTATTCACAGGGGTTTGAAAGGATGAAGGTACACTTTCACTAATGTTTCTTTTGGACTCCAGCATCTGTCTCACTGTGCCAGAATTTCTAGAAAATATATATACACATAGAGAGTCAAGGGATATGGCATTCTAGAGAACATCAACTTATGTAGAGAGAAAGCAGCTGGTTCATTAGGCAAATGCATGGACAGACAGGCATTGAAGCACTAAGTTCAAAGTGAGCGCACCGAGGCAAAGCCGAGACCCAGATGTGAGAATGCTGGGGTCTCCCAGATTAGGGAAGAATCTTCCTCTTACAGCAAAAGTGTTATGGAACATTCATCTGAAAAGTGAATGTAGGTCCTAATATCTGTAGACTTTAACCACTCCTGAAAAGAGAGCAGTGCTCAACCAACTGAGAGAAATTTTTTTTTAAGTACGAAAGTAAAAGAAACTTGCAATGATCAAAGAAGTCTTATAACATAAAACCAATATCCATTGATAATTAGAATAAAGAAAAAAAGAAGGAAATACATCATCTAGTACATTAGTTATCTCTATATAAATACAATGGTAACATTCCTGCAAGATAAAATCAGAGCCTTGTTCTGTTATTTTAAAAATGACAGACTGCTTACAAGTCTCACCTGTAGGGCACATTGTTATTGCTGTTAGCATCAATTACAGACTTGACTGGAGATACAGGTGGGTTTGGTGGATTCTGTGGGAGAAAAACACCAAGGTAAAATAAAATCCAATATATATATACATATATATACATTTTTTTAAAAAAAACTTTTAAAATTAGACCCTTAAATGGATTGGAAATTTATATTTCTTGAACATTTTCAATTATTTTAAAAATACTTGTTTTCAAGTAGAAACTATAAAAGAGTCTAAAGATGGTAAGAAGGTTTTTCCCCTGTGAAAACATCCAGATAAACATTTATGTATGCAGAGAACTCCAGGCCAAGACAACTTGGAGAAACTGCATGTAATTCTCCCAAAAGCCATCCTTCGCTATATTCTTTCTTTTTCCTTTTTGGTATTTTTTTTTTGGGGGGGGGGTTGGGTCAGACTTGGCGATGCTTAGGGATTACTCCTGGCTCTAAACTCAGGGGTCACTCCTGGAGGGCCTCAGGGGAACATATGTGGTGCCAAAAATGTTCAGGTGCACTGGGTGGGTTTTTTGGCTGAGAACTCTGGGATCTTCTCGCAGTGGGGGCAGGCAACCTCCCCTGACCCACCGTATTTCTGTAAACCCCAGCAGTCACAACTGCAGCCATGTAAAACTCACTGTCCAGTTAAATATTCTAGATTTTTTTCCTTTTATTGTTTGGCCTTTTTTGGTTTGGGGGCCACACGAGCAATTCTCAAGAATTACTCCTGGCAGTGCTCTGAGGATTGTAAGAGATACCGAGGGATTGAATCTGGGTCCCCTGCATGGAAGGCAAGCACCCTGCTCACTGTACTATTTACCACTCTGGCCCCAAATAGTCTAGCTTTTTTGAAAAAATGTGCTGACATCTCCAAATTCAACAATACTGATATCCCAGTAGGAGCAGAGCAAGTTAGATAAAGTAACATAGACGTCAACTAAGTTCAATAAAAACGTGAACACAGAAGGCTTAACTTGCAACAACAGCTCAGTAAGCGCTCAGTCAAGGAAGTAATGTCCCCATAGTAGCAAAATTTCTTTTACTGAAGAATTTTTTTGACAACTGTACTAGTCATTTAGTGGCAAAAAGGCAATATAAAATAAATTATTTTGGACCTGCTGAGGGGGCAGGTTTCAAGGGGTAGTTGGGGAAATAGGGACAATGGTAGAGGAAGGCCACAGTGGTGGTGGGACTGGTGCTGGAACACTGAATGCCTGTAACAAAGGCACCGTGAACAACTTTGCAAACCACGGTGTTTAAATAAAGTGGAAAATATTTTTTTAAAAAAGTAAGAAAGAAATGGCCCAAAGACCTGAATGAGTGTTCTCCCAAGAAGATATGCAAAACAGTCCATAAACATATGAAAAAGGCCCTCCCCCGTTGCTCAGGGGGCCCAGTAACGTCTCCATTGGAGACTTTGTTGTTACTGTGTTTGGCATATCGAATACGTCACGGGGAGCTTGCCAGGCTCTGCCGTGTGGGCGAGATACTCTCGGTAACTTGCCGGGCTCTCCGAGAATCGAACTCGGGTCGGCCATGTTGGCTGCATGCAAGGCAAACGCCCTTCCACTGTGCTATCGCTCCAGCCTAAACATATGAAAATATGCTCAAAATATTAATCATTAGAGAAATGCAATGCAAGACCACAATGAAATATCCTACTCTATTAGGAGGAGCTTAAATTCAGCAGGTTGTCACGTCTGATCTGAGATCTGAGTGGGACTCCGCTCCAGGCTGTTCTCACTCGGGGCTGTTCTCCAGAGTGGGGCAGGTGAGAGCCCTCCCCGCCCCAAGGGACCCAGCCCCCGCAGCCGACCTCCACTACCCAACCACCGCCACACTCCGGCCGCTTTCTGGACTGGCGGCAGCGCAACACTTCATAAGACTCTTCCTATCCATTTTCCATAATTACCACGCCATATTTGATGGGGGCCAGACAGTAAGAGAAATATATATGTATATGCCTCTCGGAGAGTCTGGCAAGCTACCGATTGTATGCGGCCTGCACAGGAAGAGCCTGGCAAGCTGCCCGTGGCGTATTCGATAGGCCAAATGCAGGAACGACAACAGGTCTCACTCCCTTGACCCTGAAAGAGCCTCCAATAGTTGATGAGTAAGAAGAGGTTGCTAAAATCTCAGGGCTGGGAGGAATAGAGATGTTAATGGTGCCTGCTTGAGTAAATCAACGAACAACAGGATGACAGTGATACAGTGATTAGGAAGAGCACCACCATAAAACAAAATACTAAGCACTGGAAACAACATGGCAAAATCAGACTAAGTTTTGTACCCTGCAGTTGTAAATGTACCTGAAATGATATCTACTGACAGTTATACGTAGGAGGCTCCTCAAACAAATAGGAAAATGTTATTATATAATCCAGCAATTTCATTTCTGGGTATATATCCAAAAGACTTGAAAACATTTGTCAGACTGGCAATAAAGGAAGAGTTTCCTCCTAATTCAGCATTTCCTACATTTTCCACTGAAAGCTAAATATTAGTTATGTTAGATGATAAGAACTCTTACTTCTTGTCTTTTCTTCAGATCTTCTTTGGCTGCTCCAAACCGTTTAGTTAACCTCGCTATCTTGGCCTAAGGTAAAAAAAAAAAAAGCAGAAAGAAAATGAAGAGACAACATGGTATTAAAATGAACCCCAGGGACACTAACCAACAACCCAATAGACATACCCAACAACCCAATAGATATGATGGCTAACAATAAAAATCATGTATGGCAAGCTGATTAAAAATCATACATTTGGAAAATTCAGAAAATTATAATCAGTAACTTTTCTTAAAGATTATGTCCTTAGGCTATATTCAGAGGTAGAGTTTTTGAAAAGTATATTTTAAAGGCACTCTTCTAAATGCTTTACGGAAATATTTTGTTAATTTATATCTTCAATTGCAGTATGCATGAGTGCTCATATAATATTACCATGAAAAGTAATTTTGTATTACTAACCACTAACCACTAATATAACCAAAAAAACATTATATTGCTAGGGTCAACATGCCAGTGAAAAATCATTACTATTATACTACCTCCTGCCCCCGTGCCTTGCTGCCCTCACCTGGGCCCCTTGGAGGAGGGCGGGTTGAGTTTCCCTCTCCGCCCCGAGCAGAGCCCTGACAGCTGAAGACCTCCGGGACCCAGCCAAAGCCATGCGGAGATCACTCTCCACACGCTTGGACGAGGAACCGGTAGAGGAACCCAGGTGTGTGGGACCTGGGGCTGAGATCTCCAAGTCTGCTGGGTTCGGGACTGGGCCTCCTCCACCAAGTTCCCCCACCATCCAGTAGCTAGACAGTTATAACCACCAACTGCCATCAACGGCCATCCAGAGACTATAAAACCAAGCTCCCAGAAGAGAACAAGGCAGAGTCTCCTGCCCCAACGCCTGGCTCTCCTCACCGGGGACCCTTCGAGGAGGGCAGGTTGAGTTTCCCTCTTCGCCCCGACAGCTGAAGACCTCCGGGACCCAGCCAAAGCCATGCGGAGATCACTCTCCACACGCTTGGACGAGGAACCGGTAGAGGAACCCAGGTGTGTGGGACCTGGGGCTGAGATCTCCAAGCCTGCTGGGTTCGGGACTGGACCTCCTCCACCAAGTTCCCCCACCATCCAGTAGCTAGACAGTTATAACCACCAACTGCCATCAACGGCCATCCAGAGACTATAAAACCAAGCTCCCAGAAGAGAACAAGGCAGAGTCTCCTGCCCCAACGCCTGGCTCTCCTCACCGGGGACCCTTCGAGGAGGGCAGGTTGAGTTTCCCTCTTCGCCCCGACAGCTGAAGACCTCCGGGACCCATCCAAAGCCATGCTGAGACCACTCTTTACACGCTTGGACGGGGAACCGGTAGAGGAACCCAGGTGTGTGGGACCTGGGGCTGAGATCTCCAAGCCTGCTTGGTTCGGGACTGGGCCTCCTCCACCAAGTTCCCCCACCATCCAGTAGCTAGACAGTTATAACCACCAACTGCCATCAACGGCCATCCAGAGACTATAAAACCAAGCTCCCAGAAGAGAACAAAGTAGAGTCCCCTGCCCCCGCGCCTGGCTGTCCTCACCGGGGCCCCTTGGAGGAGGGCAGGTTGAGTTTCCCTCTTCGCCCCGACAGCTGAAGACCTCCGGGACCCATCCAAAGCCATGCTGAGACCACTCTCCACACGCTTGGACGAGGAACTGGCAGAGGAACCTGGGTCTGAGATCTCCAAGGCTGCTCGGTTCGGGACTGGGCCTCCTCCACTCAGCTCCCCCACCTTCCAGTAGCTAGACAGTTACACCCACCAACTGCCGTGTAACCCCATCAACCGCCATCCAGAGACTATAAAACCAAGCTCCCAGAAGTGCGCAGCCACAAATGCCTGTTATTCTCTATTATTCTTATTCTCTTATTCTTATTCAAATGCCTCTTATTCTCTAGTTCTCACTCTCAGAGAACCCGGCAGGGCAGGCTACTGAGAGTATCATACCCGCCTATAAGCCTGACTAGGAACACCTGTAAAGGTGATTAGAGGCTTCCCCAAAAGCCTCTGTCTCGGAAAGCCCGGCAAGCTACCGAGAGTATCCCACCCGCACAGCAGAGCTTGACAAGCTACCCGTGGCGTACTCGATATGTCAAAAACAGTAAACAAATGGTCCTCATTCCCCTGACCCTGAAGGAGACCCCAATATGTCATCAGGCTACACTTTCACATGACCGGGACGAATGGAGACGTTACTGGACCCGCTCGAGCAAATTGAAGAACAATGGAGTGATAGTGATAGTGACTATTTACTTTCAAAGTTTCCTTACAGAAAATAGTCACTTCTAAAAAAAAAGATCCTAAACCTTACAAAGTTTAATAATTTACCGGATAAGGTCTAAGAACTCACTGAGAAGCAATCATCTTTGATGCTTAAGATGAAGATTTTCCCCAGAACATTACATATTATCTTTCTACAAACTACTCAAGGACATTGAGCTAAGTGAATAGTTTTACTATGGAGTTCTCTTTTTGTAAATATTCAGTAATTTTTAAGAAGACAGATAGGGAAAGTATTTTTCATAGCCTAATTTTCTTAGGGCTGGAGCGATAGCACAGCGGGTAGGGCGTTCGCCTTACAAGCGGCCAACATGGCCAACCCGAGTTAGATTCCTCCGCCCCTCTCGGAGAGCCCGGCAAGCTACCGAGAGTATTCGATATGCCAGACACAGTAACAACAAAGTCTCCAATGGAGACGTTACTGGGCCCGCTCGAGCAAATCGACGATCAACGGGAGGGCCTTTTACTTTTAATTTTCTTTACTCTGAAAACATGACACGTATTTTGTAAATTCTAACATCTTTTTGTTTATGTTATGTATGTGGAAAATTAATAAATATGTAACATGATTACCTCTAGAGTTTAGAGGTTAGGATTGGTAGTGAGAATGTACAGAGGGAATTCCTTTTGTATCATTCTGTTCTGTTGTACTGAAACATGTTTCTATCATTTGAAAATTCAATGACTGGTCAGAGAAATAGCTCAAAGAACTGGAGCACTTTATTTGTATATGTTCAATCCCTGACAACGACAACGCACACACTACTACCCATCAGCACTCAGGCATTATGGAGGCTCCTGGGTACCCCAGGTATGGCCCTGGTGGGTGCCAGTTTCACAGGACCCCAGCATTGAACCCTCCAGCCCAGCAGCTAAGTACTGCTGAGAGTAGCGCTGGCGTCAAGTACTGTCAGAGTCCTCCTCTCCTGCCTGCCAGAATACCATCAGCAGAGAAAGTCAAAATTAAGATACTATATCAATAAAAAAAAAAAGATACTATCATCAGCCATTCCATATTATAAAAAGGAAATCAAACAAAGAACAGCCATTTCTTTCCTGTATTAGTCTAGGAAACTATTAAAAAACCTTTATTAAAATCTGCCATAATTCAAAATCTCATATAATTAAACAATACCTGTTTACATTTTTTCAATTTATTGTCTCCCCAGCAGTACTGGAATGTCGTGATATCAAGGATCAATACAGCGCCAAGTAAAAATGAGGGCAGGGTCTATCAGTGGGAAGCTTCTAGAGGGGGCATCAGGGAATACCAGTGACTCTTGACAAAGACGACTCACAGAAACAGATTCTTCCTCACAGACCCCAGAATGAATTAATCCTGCCGACACCTTGTTTTGAACTTGTTGCTTCCAGAAGTATGAGACAATAGGTTTCTTTTGTATAAGACACCCAGTTTATGGTACATTTTATGGCATCTCCTAAAAGACTAATAGAGGCTTCTTTTATTTTTAAACTTTAGATGTCAAATGTACCCGGTCAACTACAAACACTATTTCAGTTATAAAAATGAGAGTGTACAATTCAAGTCAATGTACAAACCTGAAGTTCAGTGAGAACTGTTTTATGTCTCTTGTTACATTCAATCTTTTCCACTCGTGTTTTCAATTCTGCCAAAGTCTTGTCAAATACAGCACACTGTAGGGCACATAATTTTTCTTCTAGCAACCACTGTACAACCTAAAAAAAGCAAGATTGCAGCAAGCAGAAAACAATGTATCAACTAGTTTAATTTAAAAGCATGCTATTATCCATAACACAGTGCTATATCCTGAAACCCTCCAACTTCTTCTCTATACTAAAGTTACTGAAAAGATATAGTAAAAACAGATTTTGTTTTTTACTTTGACTGCCCTTTTAGCATGATTTTTAAAAAGAAAAACAATTAAAAGAACCAGTTTTTAAAATCTGCACTTGGCCACAGATGTTATTTTTATAACACAACAAATATCTCGCGGCTATACGAAATTCCAACAGAACATATCTAAATGCCTTCTCAAATTTCCATTCTCATCATGTACTCACAACAAATAGGCTACGAGGTTCAAGTCTAGGGACCATCCCTAGACGTGACTAACACTGCCCTACGCCAACTCAGTGTACACAGAAGTCTTCAAAACTCTTTCACACACCTAGCTTCCTACTTGCAACAGCGCTACAGGAAAGACTAATAACTATCATCTCCGTATCACAAAAAGAAAAGGAAAAATACTTTTCTTTCTTTTTTTTAAAATTTTTATTAGTGAAAAAATACTACTTTTCATAGCTTTACTGTTCCTTTCTCTAGTGTGGTTATTTGTGTTACAATGAAAGTGATCTAAGTCCAGATTATTTTATTTCATTAAATCATTTCATATGTCAGGGACAATTTCCGAAGTCTGGGCATAAATATTCCCTTTCCTTTAGAACTTTCTAAATCCTTGTCCCCACTATTCTGAATAAACTTTTGATTTTTGGCTTGTTTTGTTTTTGGATCACACCCAGTGATGCTCAGGAGATACTCCTGGTGTACAGTCAGGAATTACTCCTGGCAAGGCTTGGTGAAACCATGAGATACCAAGAATCCTAGGTCGCAAAATGCCCTATCTGCTCTACTCCATCACTTCATCCCAAGTGAAATGCTTTTTAAGCCTAAAATACATAATACAGAGTTCCAATTATAGGGACTTAGAACCACAAAATCAATTATTTTAAGGATCAAAATGTCAACATGCAAGACATTAATGCTTCCACTAGAATAAGTTCAATATAGAAAAAAAAAGTTGGAAATTAGATTTTGTTACTGAAGTAAAAAGAATGCAGTATCTCACTTCCATTTTGATCATACCAACATATCTAGAAAAACAATAAAGCCTTAGGAAACGAGTCAGAAGAGATTTTTAAGCCAATGCTCTTCTACCAAGCCATATTAAAGCTCTTTAGTGATTTTTACTTTTGTGGGGTTCTTGGTTTTGTTTTGGGGTCATTCCCTGTAGGGTTTAGGGGCTATTCCTGGTTTGGGGATAGGGGGTCACTTTTAGCAATGTTGAGGGAACCAAGGATCAAACCAGGAGTCAGTCACATGCAAAGTAAACACATTAGCTGCTATACTATCTCTCCAGCTCATTAATATGGTTCTTAATTTATCATCTAAAATACCTTTTGGGGGCTGGAGCAATAGCACAGTGGGTAGGGCGTTTGCCTTGCACGCAGCCAACATGGACGACACAGGTTCAATTCCCAGCACCCCATATGGTCCCCTGAGCACCGCCAGGAGCAATTCCTGAGTGCATGAGCCAGGAGTAACCCCTTAGCATCGCCAGGTGTGACCCAAATAGCAAAAAAAAATTAAAAAAAAAATTAAATACCTTTTGGAGCTTCTGGTTAATATCTCCTTTGGCTGTAATCTTAACTTGAAATTCTGCCTCATATTCTTCATCCATATATCGCCGACGTTTGGACTGTACATTGTCCATGTCCTCTGACTTAGAACGTTTTCTTCTGGAAAACTCACCTAAAAACAAAAAACATAATGAACACCAAGTTGTTTACAGACCTTAATGTCTAGTCTCCATCTTTAATACAATACTATTTTTAGCTTGCACATCATCAGTCATTTTATGAACTTGTTTTTTAATCAGAAGAATAAGACATGCCTTGTATTTGCCTGACCCCAGTTTGATCCCCGGCACACCATAAACTGCCCCAAGCACCTGCAGTAGCGATCCCTGAGCCAGAACTAAGCTCTGAGCACTGCAAGCTGTGACCCCAAAACCAAAATAAACAAGCAAAAAGGGAAGCAGACAGGCAGCATTGAGCTTTCAATTCAAACTGATGTTCAATTGATTCAATAAGAACTCCCCGAGGTGCTGGAGCAACAATACAGCAGGTTGGGCACTTGCCTCGCACATCTGTGTCTAAGTAAACCCCAGCACCAAATGCAGTCCCCTGAGCACTAGCAGGAGTGATCCCTAAGTGCAGAGTCAGGAGTATGCCCTGAGCACTGTCAGGTGTGACCCCTTCCAAACAAACCAAAAAAGAGCTTCCTAACGGCTAAGTAATATATGGAAAATGCGAACATGAGAACACAGAATACCCAATCCATAACATCTTACAATAGGCTGGAGAATGGACTAACAATATGGACTAGCTATATGAATACAAGATGAGAAATTGCCCCATATTCACTCCTTTTATTCTATATCTATAGCACACATGAATTTTCTCTCAAAAAAAAAATTCATTCTTATGCCCCAGATTTCTGTGTATAGTAGCTTTATATTTCTGTTGCTCCTTAGTAAATCTTTTCCTTGATAAATTTAGGAAAATTCTCAATAAATCAGCCTTAGGCACACAGCAATAGTTACTCTAGTATTTTTTTAAAAATCTCAAATATTTAAAAATAACATTCATGAATAATAGTATTCATCAAAAAGTCCAAAAGGGTGGGGGAAGATGGCTCACAAAAAGCTGGAGCACCTGGTCGGCATCCAGGAGCTCCAGGTTTCAATCCCCAGTACCACAAGGTGCCCCAAGCACCGCCAGGCAGCAACACCCACAATGGAAGAAGCTGCACTGCAGGGTGTAGCTCAGAGACAGAAATAAGTAAATGCGGTAAAAAAAAAAAAAGCCAAAGATCCAAATTTCTACTACAAAATACTGTCAACATTCGTGACATTTAAGACTAGAAACATTCATGACACTGTATCCAGTTATAATTTTATCGAGTTTCTTCTCCCCATAGTTTCTCTTCTCGGCAGCATGAAAACTTTGAGTATATTGAGACATATACTTCCATTCACTTCTATCACTCCTGACAAAACCCTTTTAAACGCATGCTCTAAATATACATCTAGACCATTTCTTTCAAGCCCTTCAGATAGTACCCTACTAAACAGTAAGCTTAATAACTCTTGTGGCAGAATCAAAATTAAATGTAATAAAACTATAACTATAATTACTTTGAAAGATCCTTGATTAGTCATCAACATAACTGTGGCCTGCTTAAGTTGCAAAATTTTAGTCATCTCATGAGCAGAAAAGTAAACTCCACTGTCTAAAAAAGCAGAAACAATGAATAACTGTTATCTTAAACAAAAACACAGTTTATTTGTACATGCTTACTTTTCTCTGAAGGTCTTTCATCTTCCTGTACTGCTTGCTCATCTTCCTCAGGTTTGCTGCTGTCCTTTTCATTACTTTCTACTTCTGCTAAAATAAAACAAGAGGGAAATCATATCAGAACTCATAAAAGCTCATTGTAACAAACCATCTAATCATTTTTATATAACCATCTAGCTAATCATTTTTGCAAAATCAAAAGTCTGAAATATGCCCCCTGATATAAAAAGGAATATGGACTAGTAAATATGAATGGCCAGTCAATTCACAATAATCTCTTTACATGGAAAAGCAAAGTTAACAGCATAGCCTTCATTTTATCATTTATTTATTTAGGTCTTGGGGGCACACCAAGCAGTGCTCAGGACTTACTCCTGGCTCTGTGCTCAGGGATCACTCCAACAGTGCTCTGAGGATAAAATTCACCACCCAACACATGAGGTGCCAGAAAGTGCCCCAGACTATATGCAAGCATCTTAACCTATTGAACAATCACTCCATCCGCAAAAGTATAGATTTTATAACAATGAATTTTCAATCATTTTCTATTTCCAAGAGACTAAGAAAATGCAAAAACTATTATAAAGCACTAAAGAGTCCTTTAGAGTCATGATTAAAACTGAGAAAGAGTGGTCACAGCAATTTCAAAAATTACAAACTACTGGCAAATTCAACACACCTCATACTTTGGCCAAGGCTGAATCATGAAGTTATCTTAACGGTTTGGCATAGTTCATACAAAAAGGAATAGGAAAGCTCTTACTGCAACTTGCTCCCAACGGCTTGTTAGATTTCATCAGACTCTACAAGTAAAATTAATGAGCAATCACATGGCACAGAGCACTATATGAAAATGCTGATATGACATTTCTTCTCTAAACACGAGGATTTTAATTCCACAGACCTGGAAATGTAATTCAAGGCTGAAAATTTTTAAGCACTTTTATGTTTAAAAAAAAAAAAAAAAAGCAATGGCCAGGATCAAAATGACTCAAGGCGTTCACAAAATTTTCACCCCAAGATAAAACTAAAAAGCTATAATAAAAGAAGGCAGAGAGACAGTACAGTGGGTTAAGTTGCTTGCCTTATACATGGCTAACTCTGAACAAAAAGCCATAGAAGTATGTACTTGCTTGATTTGCTTGAGCAGGCCCAGTAACGTGTCCATCGTGACACTTGTTGTTACTGCGTTTGGCATATCGAATACATCACGGAGAGCTTGCCAGGCTTTGCCATGTGGGAGAGGTACTCTCGGTAGCTTGCCAGGCTCTCCGAGGGGGCCGGAGGAATCGAACCCGGCTCGGCTGGGCCAGCTGCGCAAAAGGCGAACGCCCTACCGCTGTGCTATCGCTAACACATCATAAAAATTACTAAAACAATTTTTAAAGTCTAAAATTAATGAGTGTTAGGAAATCAGCTTTCCGTTTACCACCCTGTGGGTCAACAGAAATGTCTGTGTATTTGTTTTAGGTTCCAGGTTTTGGTAGTACTAGAACTGAACCCTGGGCCTTACACACACAAATTTTTGGTTGAGTCACATCCTTGGCACCTCATCAGAAATAGTTTTAAGATCTCATCCTTCAATCCCAGTCTCAATGAGATGAAAATCCATTGTGCTACTTTAACAATTACAAACTCACGATAAGGCATTTTTCTAAGTAATAGGCTTCCAAATCTTCCCAATTTTAATACCGAGGGATGTGACTCCTGAGTTTCCCAGTCCCCATAATTTCCAGAGACACAAAACGTAATTAGGTTGTTTGGATGCAAGTTTACATGTCTTCAGTGAATCATCGTACCATCCAAAACAAATCTGTTATGTGTTAGTGATAGCTCCTACACAAGTCAGATCATCCAAACACAGTAGAGCAAACTGACCTGGTTGGGCCTGGTACATGGAGCTGAGACAGATTACTGAGTTGAAACTCAGTAACTTCCTCTATTACCCAATTCCTAGTGGCTTCCAAATGTTTAGAAGATACAGCTGAATTCGCAACACATTAAAATTCTTTCTGGGATTTTAGAACCATTTATATTAATGCTCTAATTTTATTTAATGTAAAGAATTCTGGATAAAAAAATTACTGACAAGGTCTACAGCGATTCTCTTTTGTTTTCAGGTTACACCTGGCTGTACTCTTGGCTTGCTCCTATTCTTGTGCTCAGGGGACCTTATGTGGTGCTGGGGATCAAACAAGGTTTGGCCACGTGCAACGCAAGCACATTAACCACTGCACCATCATCTCTCCAGCCCAAAGGGAAGATTCTTTCTTGCCCTTTGTGTGTGTGTGTGTGCATGTGTGTGTATTCTACAAAACTTTAGAGAATCTGAGATGATTTACCTCCAGATTTACCAAAGGCCCTTAGATGTCCTGACAGCCAGTCTGTCTTCACTGGGGCAACTCGGAGAGGGGCCAGGTTGAGTTTCCCACCCCGACCCAGCAGAACCCCAGCAGCTGCAAACCTCCAGAGCCCAACCACCTCCATGCTCAAGGCCACTCTCCACAGGCTTGGACAGGCCTCACCCACAAAGGAACCCACAGAAAAACCCAGATATGGGGACCCGGTGACTGAGATCTCCAATCCCACTTGAAGTGGGACTGGGCCTCCTCCCCCCAGCTCCCAAGTTTACCAGTAGCTTCGCAGTCACACCCACAAACTGCCCCTAGTGCCATATAATCTCCTCAACAGCCAAGATACAGAGACTTAGAAATAAAGCTCCTGGAAGAGAGTAATCACCCATGATTCTGCTCTATGGTCACATTCTAAATTTCAGAGTTCCTGGAACAACGTCTCATGCTCTACAGCACTAATATACCGAGTCACACACAACATCTGATGGGGTTTAACAAACTACATTAGTAATCTCTTATACCAGGACTTAAAAGCTCCAGGATGAAATAAAACAATTTTCACACACTTTCCTCATTATCGTGGTGGGAAGGTGCAATAGTGGTGGGATTAGTGTTTGAATAAAGGTAAAGGTAAAGGCCCTCCCGTTGATCGTCGATTTGCTCGAGCGGGCCCAGTAACGTCTCCATTGGAGACTTTGTTGTTACTGTGTCTGGCATATCGAATACTCTCGGTAGCTTGCCGGGCTCTCCGAGAGGGGCGGAGGAATCGAACTCGGGTTGGCCATGTTGGCCGCTTGTAAGGCGAACGCCCTACCCGCTGTGCTATACTGAATGTAATGAACTGCTGTGAAAAACTTTATAAAAATAAAATTTAAAAAATAATCAAAGGCCCACACAGAGACATCTTTTATATAAATTTTCAAGTAGTTTGTTATTCCTGAAACGTGTCCAAAATCTTACCTATTTTTTTTTTCAGTAATACAATGTATTTGCAGGTATTTTTCTGCTTTCACTTTTCAGGTCACTAGCATATTTTCATATAGGACTTCTACATGGTACTATTCAACCGGACGTGAAAATGCACTAAAAGCTAGGAAGCACATCTTTAAGAGTTGGTGACCCTGAAGCTTTGGGAAAGAGCTGAGACAAAGTAAATGCTTGATCACTACCCCATGACTTACTTTTATTAAGAGTCAATCAAATATTGGAAAAGGGTATTGTTGAATATAAAAAAACAAAATTTACATTAGGGAGTCAGTTCTCCATTTTCAGAATAACTCTTTATGGAACTTCAGTCCCTGAAAATTTGGTTAAAATGGCTGCTTTAACACCACTCACAACAGCCAAGATCTGGAAGCGATCCAAGTGCCAAGAGATGAGTGGATAAAGAAACTGTGGTATATACAAAATGGAGTATCACTCAGAAGATGAAATCCGGTCATTTGTGGCAGCCTGGATAGAACTAGGGGATGTCATGCTGAGTGAAGTGAATCAAAGGGAGAAGGACAAACGCCAAATTCTCTCTCTCTCTCTCTCTCTCACATTTCATTTCATTTTCATTTCATCATCCTGTTATTCGTCGATTGCCTCGAGCAGGTCCCAGTAATGTCTCTTTCATCCTAGCCCTGAGATTATATTCAAGGCTCTTTAGGAGAATGAGACCCATCATTGTTACTGGTATTTGGCATATTTGGTACGCCACGGGGAGTTTGCCAGACTCTGCCCTGTGGGCAGGCTACATTCGGTAGCCTGCCAGTTTGTCCAAAGTAGGAATGAGACAATAAGATGTCATAAAAAAAAAAGTTTTGAAAAGATGTCGCGCGGCCGCAAATGCGGCCGTGCGGTTCCAGGATCTGGATTTTATAGTCTCTGAGTCTTGGCCACTGATGGGATTACACGGCGCCAGGGGGCCAGGTGGTGGGTGTGACCCCCGCCTACTGGAATTTGGAGGATCTGGGTGGAAGATGCTCGACTCCAATCTGAGTAGGCTTGGAGGTCTCGGCCCCGGAACCCGCGTGGCTTTGTCCCTCTGCCAGTACCTTCCAAATTCTCTCTCTCTCTCTCTCTCTCACATGTGAAGTATAAAAAAAAAAAAACATTGTCATGGCTAATGACAAGAAACCCTGAGAGTCTATCTACAGAAATGAATCTACTAAGGAAGGGTTTGGCAGATGGGAGTGTGGGGGTTGGGGAGGTGTATCCTCCAGTATTAGAGGGATGCTAATACTCTGGCAGCGGGTGTGGAGAAGCCACACTTATTTCTGAAATGTTACTGTCAATCACGGGCTGGAACGATAGCACAGCAGGTAGGGCATTTGCCTTGCACATGGCTGGCCAACCCAAGTTCAATTCCTTCGCCCCTCTGGGAGAGCCCAGCAAGCTACTGAGAGTATCTCGCCACAAGGCACAGCCTGGCAAGCTCCCTGTGACGTATTCAATATGCAAAACACAGTAACTAGTCTCACAAGGTCACTGAGCCCGCTCGAGCAAATCTATGAACAATGGGAGTGACAGTGACAGTGACTGTCAATCACATCACGGTGCCTAAATGCAAAACGGCTGCTTTACATCAAGGACTGATGAACCTTCCTCCCCCCCTCCTCCCCCCCCCCCACCCCGTCTTATAGAACACGGGGGTCTCTTTTCTTTCTGTGCTTAACTTTTTCTGTTAAAAAAATCAATGATTAAAAAAATACATAGTGATTTTTTTAAGGATGTGTGCATGTGGTTATGATT